GCAGGTATTTCCTATGATCATCAACATCAACACCATCAAACCTAATACCTTAAACCCTGCATCAAAAACTGTACAGTTTATTAAAATAATGTGGCCAAATACACTCTAACTCATCTAATAAAAAAATAGCCGAAATTGTTGTTGTTAGATAGTCTGAAGATCTTATAGTTTTGTTAGAATTGTGGAACATTATCTGAATAACAAACCAGTTGCTGGTTAGTTTTGTTTCTTCATTCGCTCATCAAAGAAGGATTAGAGAACCTGGATCACACCTGTCCATACACATAACGTTATACCTGAAAACCTGTATTCTTTTATATTGCCAAATATTTTATTATAATAATGACATGCCTAAACCAAAATAGAATCTTCGGGGAATCACACACGTGTGATGAATAGCTCGCTGGCCTGATTTGCTGACAAGATTGACAGGTGACACACACAATTGTTGTTTTTGTTCTAAGGTACAGTAACACGATACATCCCCGGGAAATGCTGACACACTTCTTAAAAAGACTGTAGAGTTTCTTCTGAGGTGAGTGGAGACGTCAAATTGTATATAGGTGTAACGGATTTCCAATAACAACCATTGACTTTCCGAGAAATTGTTTAGTCAAGTGTAGAGCTGACGCATGTCCTTTTGAGTTGGAGATAATGTTCTTTACGTCTGTCGTAGCACTCTAGACTGGGATATAGGGGGATTACCCCTTCACTTCACACTGCGTGGGTGAATGAGTGTGTGGGTGTGTGGAAGGGTGTGTGTGTTTGGTCGGTGAGTGAGTGAGTGAGTGGGACGGTGGGGCTGTGTATGGTTTGGCACGGGTAGGCGGGCAGGAGAGAGTGAGTGAGTGAGTGCGTGAGTGAGTGAGTGAGTGAGTTGGTGGGTGGATGGGGGTGTTTATGGATGGGTGAGCGGCAGGAGTGAGTGAGTCTTTGATATCTGTCCCTGCTGAACCAGGTGTAACTGCATGAGCACAGCTGGCCTAGATGTACCTGCAATACAAATGTGTTAGACCGGATGGGCGTACAACACACTTTCTGGTTATGATCATTTTTTTGGCATTTTTTCAGGTACGTTTTCTTAATGTTCCTATGCTTGTCTTGTATGAGGGTGCTTGTGTTACAATTATTATGTGGCTTGGTTGATTGTGTATCATCATATCCCGACTTATTATATTCCTGTGCCATCAGGCACTGATCTAGCTGGTTCATATTCGATTGTCCTCACAGAAAACTGTGACATATGACATCATGTGCTCACTCATTCATGGTGCTCAATAAAGATATTGCCGCGCATTCCGCGGGGGCTTTTTTAGAGTGAAAAATACTTTCAATTCTATTGACTATGCGGAAAGATGAGCCACTATTTCAACTATGGAAGTGTTGGTCATAAACCCGATTTAGTCAAATTCAATACATTGAAAATGAAAATATGTTCAAAATTACTTTAAAATGTCCGCGTTAAGATTCGATAGAGTAGGTCACCACCATCCGGTGTCTTTCCAGTGAGGTGACCAGAATGGGATGGCGTGGTCACACATCGCACCCTGATGCCGTTCATCATACATTTGGTCCCAGGTTTGCCTTGACAAGTCACATCTGTGATTGCTTACGGACTACCATGTTTAAGGATGTGCAAGTTTTGTAGTACTATGTCATTGTAACAATGTGAGGCTAATGGTTGCCAGTGTGTGTAACATGTATCATAGGTTATGATCGGCCTTAGTACCCTTTTTGTGCATCCTTCGCATGACTCCAATGAACGTTGACCACTTGTACGAGCGCTTTGTGAATCAGTTCCCTGATGTAATAGTCAGCTTTCTTACAGGTGAGTGAGTGAGTGAGTATGGTTATACGCCGCTTGTAGCAATATTCCAGCAATATCATGGCGGGGGAGCCCGGAAATGGGCTTCACACATTGTATCAACGTAGGGAATCGAACCCGGCCGGTCTTCGGCGAGACGAGCCAATGCTTTAACCATAAGGCTACTCCACGGCCCCCCTGTACTGTCGAACTGGTCAAACAAATGTTCCTTGTATAATGGGCCGGTGACCCCTTTACGAAAAAAATTCTTCATTCTCTCACCGAGTTTGAAAGGGACAGTGTTACAAAAATATTGTTTCTCGGGCATGTGATTATGAGCGGGGATCTGCACAGTGTATTATTTTCCACCAAGAATACCATCAAAACAATATTGGCTGTTTTATTAAGTTTGAGTTGTCAAACATGAGTGACAGTTTGCACACGGGGGAGTTAGTTAGTTAGGTTATATATATATGCTTTTATATTTATTATTATTATTATTATTATTATTATTATTATTATTGACATCAAGATTAACTGACGTGCAGGATTACCAGTGATGCACCGTCGTCCTAGAGTATTTGATCCACGGATATTATTTCACAGGGTACAGTGAAGAGAGAGCACATTTTTATTGTGGGGGATTGACCCACCCAGGTAATTTCTAATACCTTAGCAGGAAGTTCAGTTTTGATGATGATGTTCATTCCATTTCTTTTTCCTTAATGTTCACCTTAATGTACGATTTGTTTCAAAAAGACGCGATGGTCACAACTTCATTAGTCTTTGAGTGAGTGAGTGAGTTGGATTTAACGTCGCTTTTAACAGTAATCCAGTTATATCACAGCGTGTCAGCTTAATGTGGAAGGAAAGCCGAGGTGAAACCCACGAGCACGGGTACGGGGCTGACAGACCTAGAAACATAATCGGGGCGAACCGGGATTCGAACCTACAATGAGATGTTTCTGGCGTGCCCAAGAGAGTGCCCAACTCTGCAGAGCAAATCGCGGCAACTGGGCCTACCTTGCTCACCTTAATGTACAAATTGATTCGAAAAGAGGCGATGGTCGTAACTTCATTAGTCTTTGAGTGAGTGAGTGAGTTTGATTTAACGCAACTTTTAACAGTAATCCAGTAATATCACGGCTTGTCAGCTTAATGAGGGAGGAAAGCCGAGGTGATGCAGGTCTTAGACATTTACCACTTCGGTGAAACCCATGAGCATGGGTATGGGGCTGACAGACCTAGAAACATAATCGGAGCGAACCGAGATTCGAACCTACAATCACATATTTCATGCGTGCAGAAAGAGACGCAACTCTGCACAGCGAATCGCGGCGACTGGGCCTACCATGCCCCAATTAGTCTTTGATGGATGCCAGTATCATATCAAGAATATGCACACAAACAACATCCAGTTTGCTTGCTGTAGTTTGTGTAAATGAAAAAGACGTCTATCCATGTTAAATTCTTATGTGAAACATAGCTTCGGGGTCATACCGTCATATTGGTGAACACGACCCCAAAGCTTGAAACAGTAGAGACATGATTTCGCAACCGTGTTATGCAGGCATAGCGGGAGTAAATTACGGGAAACCCGTAGAAACGTGTCCTCTAAAGCCCAGGGGACTGCACGACACATAAAACTGGATAAAACTGATCATGAAATCATATAATATAGCAGCTTGTTGAAGGATGTCATCGGGAACCACAGAGTTTCTCGGGATTATTTGGTTGTGTATTGTCCTGAAATAACCATTATATTCAGTTACAAGAATGTTGGAAGAACTATATGTCATGTATACGTGGGAGGAGGAGGGGTGTGTGTGTGTGTGTGTGTGTGTGTGTGTGTGTAATGGTGGGGGTAAAGTTGGGTTTCATGTCGCCTTCAAGATTTATGCACTCACGTGTATGGCTTGGGGCGTATATGCGTGTCATAGCTTCGGGGCCATACCGTCCTTTTGCGGAACACGACCCCAAAGCTTGAGACAGTAGAGGCATGATTTCACAACCGTGTTAGTGGGAGTAAATTATGGGAAAACCCCTAGAAACGTGTCCTCTTAAGCTCAGGTGACTGCACGGCACAGCTCTCTCTTGATAAAACTGACCATGTTATCATATAATATGGGAACTTGTTGAATGATGTCATCGGGAACCACAGATAAACAGGCTGCGCAATAGTTTCTCGGGAATATTTAGTTTTCTATTGTCCCGACATAAGCATTATATTCAGTTACGAGACTGTTAGAAGAACAGCTGTATACAATGTCATGGATACGGGGGACTGGGTGGTGGGGTTGTGGGGGAGGTGGGTGATATTGGCGGGGTGGAGTTTAATGTTCACGCACACACATGCCCACACATACAAACTCACACGCATATGCACACAAACACACACACACACATACATACACTATATGTGAACGTGCTGTGAAAACTGAGAGTAGTCATAATTTATCATATGTAATGGATCCTGCTTTGAGCAGATATTTCTTATGATCATCAACGTCAAAACCATCAACTCAACATTCACACTTCTATCAAACCTTTTCTTTCAAATATTTCAGCACAACTAACCCCTAATACTGCTCTAATGATACAGTTTGTCTGCATGATAAACGTCATCACTTGTGTCTTGTAAGTTACCAAGGTAAACTTGAATAGAATGATTCACAGTGGAGGACTTGTTGCAAATGTTCACGGGCCAACAACCATGTGTAAAGGGGGCGAGCCTGACATCGGCGGCAAACAGATCAGTTAATCTTGACCCCCAGTCGATTCATACACAGTCAAACACTGTTTGTTGTGTCAAACGTGTGGTTGTTTCATAGTAAAAAATACTTGGTCCCTGCGTATTCATTCTTTATTAATAATTTTCGTTTGTGTCAAAGCTTTGGATATCGCGAAATATTTACGTGGGTTGGTTCATTTTCGACACAACGGTATTGAACTGCATTACCTTTCGGTTATATGTCATATGTTATATGTATCTACCTGAACGTCCTATCACATTATATCACACCAGGCGACAGTCAACAGGTGAGTTGTGCAGAAGATGAGCTTTGCTATCTGTTGATTCCTAAATTTAAACAATATATCAACCCAAAAATATGTACGGAAATTAATTAAGTATGAAAAGCAACAAATGAACAACAAATGGTGTGCAATGAACAAATGTATTACAAAATTCTCAAGGTTTACAAATCAATACAAATTAGTGCACATTAAATACAAAGGCAGTACACAACAGACGGGAAGTACAATAATCATAATATAATAGCAGTGGTCAGTATCAAACACAAAAAACAATCCCTATAGCTAAAACCGATAATATTATTAGATTCACCCAGCAGCAACAGGGGTCAAGCTTTCGAGATAACAGAGGATAAGAATCCAGGGTGAAAAGGGATCTTAACGGATGATTCGAGTTGACATTCCAAAGTGCCTGAAGGCATGACAAAGAATCAGAGAAAATGATGAAGACTTAACTTGCAGTTTGTTTCTGAATATATGTCAAGGCTGTTTGAATAGCCTCAGCTGCAGCAGTAAGTATGTAGCTGCATCTGGTAAGCTTGAAGAATTAGTTTTTTAACCAATTATGGCGGCACTTGCACCTTTGGCGCCACCCTTGGATCCATCTGTGAAGATGGATGGTGAGAATTATGTTTAGAGCGTAACTGGACATATTCCTGCTAAAGGATTAACTGGTTTGTATCGGATTTTTTAAATTCGTAAGTGTAATATCTACTACTTGTTTGCCTAATTGCTAAGGAGGCGTAAACAGTTATCGGTAGGGTGCAATAATATCAAGGGCAATATGAGATGCTGTTATATGTCATAATCTGATTCCCAACAAAGGAGGGTGTCGTATTGACAGCATGGGATGTTTTGGGCTTATTCTAGTCCCTCATGACCATATAAATCAAACAGACAACACAAATATTTCACAGATGGTCAGTGCCACCTTAACAGGGCCATCTCTAATGCATCACAATTTCATCTACATAATAAATGGAATGACAGGTTCATGAGGAGAAGTGGGACAGGAAGCTGCAGGAATCCATCTCCACAACGGCCTGATGTATTCCTCTCATCTGAAACAAAAAATGCACTTTTCAAGTTTCATAGTCGAGTTGGATCTCAGTTTGACAAATGATGAAAACATTTTTTATTTTATTGGATTCAAGAGAATAACAATTTCTTGAAATACATATTGCCATGGAACATCTTCAAATCTATGGCAAATACTTATTGTTTCATTATGACTATATCAGTTCGTAACAATATTCATTCACGAGGGATAAGTGATCAGTTTCAGGTAGGTTATTCTATATATTACAAGTTAAAAATAACCCATGAAGATCCGTGTTAGAATAGGTCTTCAATAACCAAGCTCGTCGTAAGAGGCGACTAACGGGATCGGCAGGTCAGGTTCGCTGACTTAGTTGATGCATGGCATCGTTTCTCAGATGCGTGGATCGATGCTCATAATATCAATCAGAAGATTGGCTAGTCCCGACTCGATTATTTTACTATCGCCGTCATGTATCTGGAATATTGTTGAGTGTGGCATTCAACAACAAATAGACACATACAACATAGACATTTTAAGTGAAAAAAACCCTTATGAAATGTCAACCCTACTGATAAACTTCAGTGGTTAAAGCATCACGCTGAAGACCCAGGCTCGATTCCCCACATGGGCACAATGTGTGAAGCCCATTTCGTGTGTTCCCTGCCGTGATATTACTGAAGTATTGCTAAAAGCGGTTTAAAACCATACTCACTCACTCACTCACTCAATGAAGGCAAGCTATTGTTAAGATGACATCATGTATTTTTCTCAACAAGCCTTAGGCTTCAACTGATCAATCAGCAAATATCGGAAATTTGTTACAGACGATCAGTCTACCCTTATGAGTAATATATAAAATTATGAACCACGTTTTCGTGAAACACTAATGAAATATTAGCCTTTCTGATGGAGATGTCCAAAACTTACTAAATCATGGCTACTTTTCAACATTTTTCAGAAACTCTATGAAAATAGTAATGTCACTGTTCTAACTGTCGCATCATTCGACACATGATCGCCCCTTTCATTATTAAACTAATTTATCCCAGCCTCATTTGGAAATAGAATCAGGGAGAATCGGGATTCAAAGCCTTTTGTCATAGAAGTCTAGCACAACTTGGACAAGGAGAGCCTTTTTTGTCTTAAACATGCGAGGGGGGCCACACTAATTTGAGAAAAAACGAAAAACAATCACATCAAAGTGTAACTGACTGTGGCTGGGGATGTGACTAGCTTCAATAGAATATCAATAACTAATAGAATGGAGATGTGTTCATTTTATTGAAGTGGATGGTCACGTGATATGTACCGCATGTATGTAGCTGTACAGAAGGTCAAAGGCATTTGAGTTTAAATAATAACTTTGGCTTTGATCGCTACAAGTTGTCAATGACATAGAAACTCACCTGTAGGTACAGCATAACTAGGGCCGGGACGTCCATGTGTATTGTTTGAACAAAGTGTTACACAAACGTCATCACATCGCCCGTCTTTATTCGTCATTTCGCACCCAGCACAATCAGTCCCACAACGGCGTTCACAAGTGTTGCCAAAGTAACCAGGTTGACATGCAAAGCATTTTCCATCCATATCACATGTCCCGTGAGAACACGTGGAACTACACACACTGGCGCAGTCAACTCCCCAGTAGCCTTGCGAACATCGAGAACAATTTCGAGACTCTTGCAGACATGCTTCACAGTTGCGAGAACACTTCCTTCGACAGTCAGGAGACATCCATCCGTCCACACAGCCCTGTCTACAGACTGCAGACTTTATGTGGTGGTCGTAAACACAGTCCTGCTCCCTACAGCGACTATCACAGGGCTGATCACAGTGATGGCCGTGGAAGCCAAGGCGACACCCTTGGGTACATCTACCTCTTTTAGCTTGCTCGCATGCGTTTTGATGGCAGCCGCTTGGACACCTTGTGCCACAATCGTCACCAGTCCAACCCTGGAGGCAGCCCTTGTTACAATACCCATCCCAGGAGAAGCAGGAGTTGTCCACACATCTTTCACTGCAGGCTCGCTCACACCTGTCTCCCCACCAACCATCTTTACAATATTGTGAACAATGTCCCGTCGTTCGGTCACAGTATGCATGCCCGTCATCGTTCTCCCTGCAGTGTGGGGGGCACTTTGTTGTACAGGTGGAGGTATAGTAGCCACCCTGGCACTGCAGGCATTGTCCTGAGTCCCTGTGACAGCCACCGTTGTCACAAAAACCAATACATCTGTTGTCACAGCGACTTCCATACCATCCCGACACACATTCAGGGCACGGTGTTTCTTCCGTGGCCCACAGACAGTTGGAATAAGCAGACGAATGGCATATGAAAACTACTGGAACATAAAATAATGCAATCGTTACGATTCGAATGAAATGAGTTTACATTTAATTTTTAAGTTTATTATTGATTATTCAGTTTAGGTTAGACCACTTCCATCAGGATTCATCTAAGAACAAAACATTGAAAGACACATTTACAGATTTAACAATATTCTCAGGTTGTTGAACCGGTATTACCGACATAATTTTGGCCCGTATGGTCGGAATTATGACTTGTGAACTGTTTCATGGACATCTAGAGCTGTAGTCCTTACATTCGTATCGGATATGCTCGGTACTATTCGCTACTTGATAGATGTCTCGTGTTGATATGACCCAAACATATCAAATTATTCGCAATTGTTAGAAGTTCCAGATGTGTAACTTATCTGACAGCTGGCGACATGGGACACCATCTCGAATATCTTGATGCAAGGAATGAAGCCATACTCACACAGTAGGAACAGACTCGTTGTCATCGTTTTCATCGTTCACATCTGAAGGTGCCTGTTGTGCATACAAATAGCAAGGTGTTACACATTTCGCCATCTGCATCTTGACTTTCCCTTTTTGGGAGAGTAGCTATGTGACTCAAATACTGCCCATGCGATGTTAAATTTGTATTTTAACTCACCCACCCTATTCACAACAAATGTGTAAATAAACATTAGAAACTAACAGTTCAGTGTTGCGATTATATAATAAGTATGTGTTGATGGATCACTATGAAATAGTGATGATACTTGGTGTTCGCTAAAAGGGGAGGTGAAATGGGAGTTTCGCGTGCGTGCGTGCGTGCGTGCGTGCGTGCGTGCGTGCGTGCGTCTTCTTGTACTAGTCCGGATGGATGCCGAATTTAAAGTGTTGCCCCAGTGAGATACTATGCCGCAGTTTATTCTATCCCTGTATAGTGCTAGCCCACTGAGATACCATGCCGCAGTTTAACATGAATACCCCACACAGACACAGTATACTGACTCCGAGCTGACAGTTCTTGTTTTATCCCATTAATGCCGAGCCAACAGAAAAACAACAACCGACCTCGAACCCCGGACATTCCGTTCTCCGGGCAGACGCTCTGTCACCAGACCACGGAGGCGAAAAGGGTATATAAAGTGTACACATGAACAAACACGGGAAGAAGCATTTATTGTACAAATTGAACTAAGGATAAACTTGTGTCCGTGATGTGACAAATTTGGATCTTTCCTCTACATGTCCATGTTACAGCAGTTTGAACATTTCCTGAGGCCGTGAAAGCTGAAATCCTGATCAACAAACTTCTGAGCAAGAGCCGACTGACGATGTTTGAAATCTCCGTGGACAGAGCATGCTGAAGTACTGTTGACTTGGTATGTTTAACTAGTACTAATCCCTCTTGTCATGCAGCTTTGTGCATGTGTTATTGTATGTCTTAATGTCGATGTATAGATCTAGATATGAGTGAGTGAGTGAGTTTGATTTAACGCCGCTTTTAGCAATATTCCAGCAATATCACGGCGGGGGACACCTGAAATGGGCTTCACACATTGTACCCATGTCGGGAATCGAACCCGGGTCTTCGGCGTGAAGAGCGAACGCTTTAACCACTAGGCTACCCGACCGCCCCGATCTAGATATGAAAAAGATGAGGCGGTTTCATTTGTCTCGTTTATTTGGTTGGTAAAGCAGTGAAAAGTATGAAGCGAACTGATCATATTTGAAAGGGATCAGATCATCACTATTACTTAAGCTCAATGTCCAAACTAGTATCAGCACACGCACGCACGCGCGCACACGAGGCACGCCTCTTTAAAAATTACAATATTCTTCAACGTGACGTTAAACCCCATTTCATCAACCCACAAAGGAACTTTACGATTCAGAACTTACCTGCAACAGAGGTGTCTTCCTGTCTGTGCCCTGTCCGTACCTGGAACCTTTTACCTGCACAAAAAGAACTGTATAAATTATTTTATATTGACATTTATTTAATCATAAGTCTCGTGATTCATACGGATGTATATTAATAATTACAATAATGTGACCAAATACCCTCTAACTCATTTAATAAAAATGTAGCCTTAACCGTTGTTGGGCAATAGTTTAAGATGTTATAGTTTTGTTAGAATTGTCGAACATTATCTGAATGACGAACCCGCTGCTGTTCAGTTTTGTTTCTTCATTCGCTCGTCAAAGAAAGAATTGACCGTCCAAAGATCTGGGCAAACCTGGATCCCACCTGTCCATACACCGAACGTTATACCTGAAAACCTGCAACAAATATACAGTATAAGTTATTTTACATTGACATTTATTTAATGATAATAATGACATACCAAAACGAAAGTAGAACTCTCGGGGAATCTGATTCGTGGGATCGATCCGATCCAGAGGTGACGCAAACACTTGTTATCTTTGTTCTGCTGTTCAGTAACATGATACATCCCAGGAAATGCTGACACACTTCTTAAGAAGGCTGTAGGGTTTGATCTGAGCTGAGTGCAGACTACAAAAAGTCACGAAGTCCAATTACAAGCAACAATTGCTCTCCGAGAAATTGTTTAGTCAAGTGTCCTTTTGAGTTGGAGATAATGTCTATCGTAGCACTCAAATGTGTGTCTTAACTGGGATATAGGGGGATTACCCCTACACGTCACACTGTTGTATAAGAAGGGGAATTAATTGTCAGTTCTAAATCTTACACAATAGAAACAGGCCAATGGTGGTATTTTGATATAGGGGACGATGGGGTAGCCTTGCGAATAAAGTGTTCGCTTGTCACTACAAAGGCTCGTTTCCTATATATGTACAATGAGTGAAAACCATCTCTGGTTTTCCTGGCTGAATCGCGCTGCAGCATGTCGGTGATAGTACAGGGTATGTAAATGATATACAATATATCAATAGATGTGCCTTCCAGATCAACTCGTTTACCGAATAATATAGGAGCAGTCTTGAGGAACAAGCAGCGACGTAAACGTTTCCCGAGGAAATAGTCCCTTTATTTTGTTTGTTGTATAAACATGGCAACCAAAACAAGATGACGGCAGCTTGGAGTGAGTGAGTGAGTGGGTCGGTGGGTGAGTGAGTGAGTGAGTGAGTGAGTGAGTGCGTGAGTGCGTGCGTGCGTGCGTGCGTGCGTGCGTGCGTGGCTTCGTTGATTGTGTTTCATCGTTTGTTACAATTATTATGTGGCTTGGTTGATTGTGTGTCATCATTTGTTACAAGTATCATGTGGCTTGGTTGATTGTGTTTCATCGTTTGTTACAATTATCATGTGGCTTGGTTGGTTGTGTGTCATCGTTTGTTACAATTATCATGTGGCTATGTGGATTATGTGTCATCGTTTGTTACAATTATAACGTGGCTTCGTTGATTGTGTGTCATCGTTTGTGTCAATTATCATGTGGCTTGGTTGATTGTGTTTCATCGTTTGTTACAATTATCATGTGGCTTGGTTGATTGTGTGTCATCGTTTGTGTCAATTATCATGTGGCTTGGTTGATTGTTTTTCATTGTTTGTTACAATTATCATGTGGCTTGGTTGATTGTGTGTCATCGTTTGTTACAATTATCATGTGGCTTGGTTGATTGTGTGCCATCGTTTGTTACAATTATCATGTGGCTTGGTTTAGTGTGTGTCATCGTTTGTTACAGTTATCATGTGGCTTGGTTGATTGTGTGCCATCGTTTGTTACAATTATTATACAGCTTGGTGGATTGTGTGTCATCGTTTGTTACAAGTATCATGGGGCTTGGTTGATTGTGTGTCATCGTTTGTTACAATTATCATGCGGCTTGGTTGATTGTGTGTCATCGTTAGTTTAAATTATCATGTGGCTTGGTTGATTGTGTGTCATCGTTTGTTACAATTATCGTGTGGCTTGGTTGATTGTGTGTCATCGTTTGTTTCAATTATCATGTGGCTTGGTTGATTGTGTGTCATCGTTTGTTACAATTATCATGTGGCTTGGTTGATTGTGTGTCATCGTTTGTTACAATTATCATGTGGCTTGGTTGATTGTGTGTCATCGTTTGTTACAATTATCATGTGGCTTGGTTGATTGTGTGTCATCGTTTGTTACAATTATCATGTGGCTTGATTGATTGTGTGCTTTGTTTGTTACAATTATCATGCGGCTTGGTTGATTGTGTGTCATCGTTTGTTACAATTATCATGTAGCTTGGTTGATTGTGTGTCATCGTTTGTTACAATTATCATGTAGCTTGGTTGATTGTGTGTCATCGTTTGTTACAATTATCATGTGGCTTGATTGATTGTGTGCTTTGTTTGTTACAATTATCATGCGGCTTGGTTGATTGTGTGTCATCGTTTGTTACAATTATCATGTAGCTTGGTTGATTGTGTGTCATCGTTTGTTACAATTATCATGTAGCTTGGTTGAGTGTGTCATCGTTTGTTACAATTATCATGTGGCTTGGTTGATTGTGTGTCATCGTTTGTTACAATTATTATGTTGCTTGGTTGATTGTGTGTAATCGTTTGTTACAATTATCATGTGGCTTGGTTGATTGTGTTTCATCGTTTGTTACATTTATCATATGGCTTGGTTGATAGTTTATCATCGTATCCCAAAGTAACATACACCGTGCCATCAGCCACTGGTCTGGATGGTTCATATTCGATTTTCCTTACAGAAATCTGTGATATATGACATCGTGTATTCTCTCATTCAACCATGTAAAGACACATGTTTGACATAGTGCTCCATAAACATATAGACGCGCATTCCGCTATTTTTCTCTCCAGTCAATAATACTTTCAGTTCTATTGAATATAAGCGTGTGAAAACGTTAAAAAATAAGCCACTTTTTCATATATGTAAGTGTTGATCATATACCAGATTTAGTCAATTTCAATACATCAAAGACCCGTGAAGATCCGGGTTAAAATAGATCTTCACCAACCCATGCTTGCTGTAAAAGGCAACTATGCTTGACGTAACAGGCGACTAATGGGATCGGGTGGTCCGAATTGCGTGGATCGATGTTCATAATGTTAATCACCAGATTGTCTGGTCTAGACTCGATTATTTACAGACCGCGCGTCATATAGCTGGAATATTGCTGAGCGTGTCGTTAAACAACAAACTTAACCAAATCAATGAAAATATGTTCAAAATAACTTTAAAATGTTCGTGTTTGGATTTGGTAGAGCAGGTCCTAAAGTTGGTCTCTGTGATTGCTTATGGACTACCGTGTTTAAGGATGTGCAAGTTTTGTAGTGCTATGCCATTGTAACAATGTGAAACTAATTGTTACCAGTGTGTATAACATGTATCATAGGTTATGATCAGCCTTAATAAGCTTGTGTGTATCCTTCTCATGACTCCGATGCGTGTTGACCACTAGAATCACCAACGTCCGTGGTTTACGGGCGCTTTGTGAATCAGTTCCCTGATGTAATAGTCAGAGCACATTACCGGTGAGTGAGTGAGTGAGTATGGTAATACGCCGCTTTTAGCAATATTCCACCAATATCACGACGGGGAACCCCGGAAAATGGGCTTCACACATTGTACCCACGTAGGGAATCGAACCCGGCCGGTCTTCGGAGAGATGCGCCAATGCTTTAACCATAAGACTACTCCGCCGTCCCCTGTACAGTTGAACTGGTCAAACCAATGTACCTTGTATAATGGGCCGTGGACCCCTTTACGAAATAAACTCATCATTCTCTCACCGTGTTTAAAAGGGACAGTGTTACGAAAATATTGTTTCTCGGGCCTGTGATTATGTTTCCACCAAGAATACCATCAAAACAATATTGGTCACACAATAATCTCGGCTGTTTAATAAAGTGTGAGTTGTCAAACATGAGGGACGCTTTTAACATTATTCCAGTTATATCACGGCAGACTGGGAAAATTTATATTAATTATTATTATTATTATTATTATTATGATTGAAATCAAGATTGACCGACGCGTATGATTACCTTTGATGCAACGACGTCCTAAAATATTTGACCTACAGGGTGCAGCGAAGAGAGAGCAAATTTTGTTTTGTGGGGGATTGAAGCACCCAGGTGATTTCCTCATACCATAACAATAGGTGCCGGGTTAACAGAAAGTTCAGTGTCGTTGATGATGTTCACTCCATTTCTAGTTCCTTAATGTTCACCTTAATGTACGATTTGTTTCAAAAAGACGCGATGGTCGTAATCGTTTGTTACATTTATCATATGGCTTGGTTGATTGTGTGTCATCGTTTGTTACAATTATCAAGTGGCTTGTTTGATTGTGTGTCATCATTTGTTACAATTATCATGTGGCTTGGTTGATTGTGTTTCATCGTTTGTTACATTTATCATATGGCTTGGTTGATAGTGTATCATCGTATCCCAACGTAACATACACCGTGCCATCAGCCACTGGTCTGGATGGTTCATATTCGATTTTCCTTACAGAAAACTGTGATATATGACATCGTGTATTCTCTTATTCAACCATGTAAACACACATGTTTGACATAGTGCTCCATAAACATATAGACGCGCATTCCGCTATTTTTCTCTCCAGTCAATAATACTTTCAGTTCTATTGAATATAAGCGTGTGAAAACGTTAAAAAATAAGCCACTTTTTCATATATGTAAGTGTTGATCATATACCAGATTTAGTCAATTTCAATACATCAAAGACCCGTGAAGATCCGGGTTAAAATAGATCTTCACCAACCCATGCTTGCTGTAAAAGGCGACTATGCTTGACGTAACAGGCGACTAATGGGATCGGGTGGTCCGAATTGCGTGGATCGATGTTCATAATGTTAATCACCAGATTGTCTGGTCTAGACTCGATTATTTACAGACCGCGCGTCATATAGCTGGAATTTTGCTGAGCGTGTCGTTAAACAACAAACTTAACCAAATCAATGAAAATATGTTCAAAATAACTTTAAAATGTTCGCGTTTGGATTTGGTAGAGCAGGTCCTAAAGTTGGTCTCTGTGATTGCTTATGGACTACCGTGTTTAAGGATGTGCAAGTTTTGTAGTGCTATGCCATTGTAACAATGTGAAACTAATTGTTACCAGTGTGTATAACATGTATCATAGGTTATGATCGGCCTTAATAAGCTTGTGTGTATCCTTCTCATGACTCCGATGCGTGTTGACCACTAGAATCACCAACGTCCGTGGTTTACGGGCACTTTGTGAATCAGTTCCCTGATGTAATAGTCAGAGCACATTACCGGTGAGTGAGTGAGTGAGTATGGTAATACGCCGCTTTTAGCAATATTCCACCAATATCACGACGGGGAACCCCGGAAAATGGGCTTCACACATTGTACCCACGTAGGGAATCGAACCCGGCCGGTCTTCGGAGAGATGCGCCAATGCTTTAACCATAAGACTACTCCGCCGTCCCCTGTACAGTTGAACTGGTCAAACCAATGTACCTTGTATAATGGGCCATGGACCCCTTTACGAAATAAACTCATCATTCTCTCACCGTGTTTAAAAGGGACAGTGTTACGAAAATATTGTTTCTCGGGCCTGTGATTATGTTTCCACCAAGAATACCATCAAAACAATATTGGTCACACAATAATCTCGGCTGTTTAATAAAGTGTGAGTTGTCAAACATGAGGGACGCTTTTAACATTATTCCAGTTATATCACGGCAGACTGGGAAAATTTATATTAATTATTATTATTATTATTATTATTATGATTGAAATCAAGATTGACCGACGCGTATGATTACCTTTGATGCAACGACGTCCTAAAATATTTGACCTACAGGGTGCAGCGAAGAGAGAGCAAATTTTGTTTTGTGGGGGATTGAAGCACCCAGGTGATTTCCTCATACCATAACAATAGGTGCCGGGTTAACAGAAAGTTCAGTGTCGTTGATGATGTTCACTCCATTTCTAGTTCCTTAATGTTCACCTTAATGTACGATTTGTTTCAAAAAGACGCGATGGTCGTAACTTCATTAGTCTTTGAGTGAGTGAGTGAGTGAGTAAGTGAGTTGGATTTAACACCGCTTTTAACAGTAATCCAGTTATATCACAGCGTGTCAGCTTAATGTGGAAGGAAAGCCGAGGTGAAACCCACGAGCATGGGTACGGGGCTGACAGACCTAGAAACATAATCGCGACGAACCGGGATTCGAACCTACAATCACACGTTTCTGGCGTGCCCAAGAGACGCAACTCTGCACAGCGAATCGCGGCGATTGGGCCTGTCGTGCCCCCAATAACTAATTGATGATGCCCGTATCATATCAAGAATATGCACACACACTAACATCCAGTTTGCTTGCTGTAGTTTGTGTAAATGAAAAAGACGTCTATCCATGTTAAATTCTTATGTGAAAGATAGCTTCGGGGCCATACCGTCCTATTGGGGAACACGACCCAAAAGCTTGAGACAGTAGAGGCATGATTTCACAACCGTGTTAGTGGGAGTAAATTAAGGGAAAACCCCTAGAAACGTGTCCTCTTAAGCTCAGGTGACTGCACGACACAGCTCTCTCATGATAAAACTGACCATGTTATCATATAATATGGGAACTTGTTGAATGATGTCATCGGTTACCACAGATAAACAGGCAGCGCAGTAGTTTCTCGGGAATATTTGGTTGTCTATTGTCCCGAAATAAGCATTATATTCAGTTACGAGACTGTATACGAGGGGAGTGTGTGTGTGTGTGTGGGGGGGGGGGGGGGGGGGGGGGGGGTAATGGCGGGGGGTAGGGTTTAGTGTTCACGCCCACACATGCCCACACATGCCCACACATACTAACACACACATGAATATGCACACACATACAAACACACACATGAATTAATCATATGTAATGGACCCTACTTTTAGCAGAAATTTCCTAAGATCATCAACATCAACACCATCAACTCAACATTCACACCTCTATCACACCTTTTATTTCAAATATTTCAGCACAACTATCCCCTAATACTGCTATAACGATACAGTTTGACTACATGATAAACGTCATCACTTGTGTCAGGTTAGTTACCAAAGTAAACTTGAATAGAATGATTCATAGTGGACGACTTGTTGCAAATGTTCGTGGGCCAACAACCATGTGTAAAGGGGGCGAGCCAGACATCGGCGGCAAACAGATCAGTTGATCTTGACCCCCAGTCAATTCATATACAGTCAAACGTCGTTTGTTGTTTCGAACGTGTGGTTGTTTCGTTGTAAAAAATACTTGGTCCTTGAGCATTCATTCTTTATTATTAATTTTCGTTTGTGTCAAAGCTTTGCATATTTACGTGGGTTGGTTCACTTTCGACACAACAGTATTGAACTGCATTACCTTTTGGTAATATGTAATATGCATCTACCTGAACGTCCAATCACATTATATCACGCAAGGTATACAGCCAACAGGTTATGCAGAAGATGAACTTATTATGTGTTGATTCCTCAATTTAAACAATATGTCAACCCATAAATCTGTACGGAAATTAATTAAGTATGAAAGCAACAAAGAAACAACAAATGGTGTGCAATCAACAAATGCATAATTCTCAAGGTTTACAAATCAATACAAATTACTGCATATTAATTACAATTAATTACAAACGGGAAGTACAATAATCATAATAAAATAGCAGTGGTCAGTATCAAACACAAAAACTGTCCCAATATCAAAAAGTGATAATATTATTAGATACACCCAGCAGAGACAGTGGTCAAGCTTTCGAGATAGCAGAGGATGGGAATCCAGAGTGAAAAGGGATCTGAACGGATGATTCGAGTTGACATTCTCAAGGTTTACAAATCAATACAAATTACTGCACATTAATTACAATGGCAGTACACAACAGACAGGAAGTACAATAATGATAATATGATAGCAGTGGTCAGTATCAAACACAGAAACGGTCCCAATAGCTAAAAGTGATAATATTATTAGATTCACCCAGCAGCGACAGTGGTTAGAGATAACAGAGGATAGGAATCCAGGGTGAAAAGTGGTCTTAACGGATGCTTCCCATCCTCTGCGGTCTCGGAAGCTTGACCACTGTCTCTACTGGGTGAATCTAACAATATCATCAATTTTGCCATTGGGACAGTTTTTGTGTTTGATACTGATCGATGCTGCTTTTTTTTTCGTACAGACTTTTGGGTTAACATATTGGTTTATTTGGTAATTGACACGTTAAAAAGCATTGAGTTCATCTTCTGCATAACTCACCTGCTGACTGTCGCCTGGTGCGAGATAATGTGATAGAAACTGGACGCTCAGGTCATACCTGTATGTGGTCAACCAAAAGGTTATGCAGTCCAACATGGTTGTGTCGAAGTTGAACAAAGAACAATATCAGTAGTTCATACAAATGATGATTCCATACAACAGTCAAAATGATATAACCCAGCCGTACGTGTTGAACATTAGTTTGATAATTGATCCATACATATTCACAATGACAATCCCTTTTGTGTGTACGCAACAATGCGTTTTTCGTTTGGATGACGTGACGTTGACTATGATTATTGCCTATTCATAAATCCCCTCCGTCCACCTTTTTTCAGATACCTTTGTTAACCTCTGCGGCTGATGTAATGTGCGTGGACCATGTAGTGGATATGTTGGTACCTCTCGTTTGTCAAACGATTTAATAACAACGGATATAAACATTTTGTTTATATTTTGTTTTGGGTTGTATGTTACATGTCAAACTATATCTAGTGAGTGACAATGGGTTCTGTGTCACATCTAAATATTTTCAGTCAAAATATTAGTAATGATTGTGGAGACTGAGAGAGTGAAGTGCATTACTTTGAGCCACTCATCTTAGGCCGTGAACCTAGCAGTCAGTAAGTTATTATATATCCGTGGGCAGGATACTTAAATCAGTGCCACCTTGTGAACCAACTATATATACATCGAAGTTATATACATGATTATGGAGCCAGTTTTTATTTTGTGGCCATATGAGGTCAGGTGAAATACGGGTTCAACGTTGCATTCAAGATTATTGCACTTATATAGTGACGTGCATGCACGTGTGTGTGTGTCTGGCTGCTTGTCCAGACTGATGCCGATTCAAAGTGCTAGCTCACATGCCACAGTTAACAGGAATCCCCCACTCAGACACAGTATACTGACTCCGAGTCGACCAGTCCTTGTTTTAGCGCCAGACAGGGTCATAACTAGTACTATATTTTAACGTCTTATGATATGACGCGACCGAGGATCCAAACCCGGACCTTCCACTCTCCTGCCAGGTTCTCAATCACAGTGTGTCCATCGATCCCGAGTTGTGACCCTGATGAGTTATTGCAAGGCTACCAGGATGTCCTTACTGGAAATACAATCTGGATCCTAAAAGCGGTCACATCTTTACGATTATGTCAGACACAATATACAGACTCAGAGTCGACCAGTCCTGGTTTTAGCCCCTTGATGTCGTGTGACAGACAGGGTCACAACAGGTGTCATCTTTAGACATCTTTTGGTATGAGGCGGCCGGGGATATATCCCCGGACTTTCCGCCCTCCACGGAGGCAGACTGTGGCAGTATTAGAAATTACCACATGAACTTTGTTGTGTAAATGTGCACTACTGGTACTGTCCACTCTGTACTGTGCAACAAGTATTTCACAGAAAGAAGTCATGAATCTGGTTTGCCATCACAACGCACTTTTGTGTTTTTCATATCCAGCTGAGGATTTATTTATTAGATTGTAATCAGTCTCGGATGTGGAGCTGTGACGTCTCATACAACCATCTAGCACTAATACATTGTGAATTTGTATTCAAAGATAATTTCAGTACACCAATAGTGTGCATATTTGTAACTTGAAATAAATGACAAATGTATGAGCCTCGCTGTGACTTGCTACCCATACAGCGTCGGATGGTCTGGTGAGGTGATGGTGAGGTGAAATTGGGTTTAACGTCGCGTCCAAGATTATTGCACTTATATAGCGACGTGCATGTACGTGTGTGTGTTTGTGTGGCTGCTTGTACTAGTCCGGACTGATGCCGATTTATAGTGCTAGCTCACTGAGATACCATGCCGCAGTTTAACATGAATACCCCACTCAGACACAGTATACTGACTCCGAGCCGACCAGTCCTTGTTTTAGCCCCTTAATGCCGAGCGCCAGACAGGGTAACAACAAGTACCATCTTTTAACGTCTTTTGGTATGACGCGGTCGGGGATCGAACCCCGGACCTTCCGCTCTCCGGGCGGACGCTCTACCACAAGACCACGGAGGCGGTCTCGGACTGTCTGGGCGCCACCGGTATCTGCATGTCCGTCTTCGACTGGAGACATTTGAAAGAATCCCAACACAAATAAATTCAAAGGCTTGACCAAATACGTCATTTGGGGTACAGTGTGCACATAAAAATACCGAATGTCGGAAAGACACATTGAGGTAATACCATACTGGCTATGATGAAATATACATGACTCAGTTACACATATAAACACACATGATATATACTGGGCGGTGTCGATTAAAGTACACACCATATACTAAGTCCCCAGTGTCGATCTTGTCTGTGGCCGTACGGTGTGGTTTCTGTATAAGTGCAGAGCCAGCAGGATGGTGGCTGTGGTGGGATCTCTATGGGACAGACGAGCGCACTGTGATTTGGTTTTAAAACGACTCCCACCAGAAAAAAAAGGTTTCCTTATGCAATGTACTTTCCTTTTTTTTTCCGGTGGAAACGTAATGCAATAGCAAGTGCAATTACACAAAAGAGCAGCGGCAGTCCAATAGCAAGACCTAAGGTGAGGTCGGATGGTGATGACTCTGTCGTAGTTGGACTTGTTGGTGTTGACGACCTCTCAGATACTGTTGGTGAGCTTGGTGACGTGTTACTGCTTCCTTAAATAGAAAAGAAATGTTAATTTAATTGGGAGAAAAAAAATTCGCAATTCGTTCTCGTCCTCCACTCAAGTGAAGCACTAAAACGACACAACTGGAATTTGTCAATGTCAATTTTGGGATTACCCTTAATCAATGTCAACAAAATAACCACTTCAACCATATCAGTATATGTTTGATCTTAAGGAATGGAATGAAGATAGTTTTGTTTGTTTGTGCAGCTACATGCTGGTCTGTAAATGATCCAATCAGGAAGTCAAGTGATTAACATTATGACTATATATCCGGCAAATCACCGACTCGTAGGATGTTGAGGACCTATTCTAGCCTGGAATCGACAAGGGAACGGGTGAGGGTGGAAGTTACGTACCTGTCGACGTAGGGGTTGTTGTTGGTGAAGGAGCAGCTAGAAAGAGAACAACAGACACGTACTATTTGTACAAGACGTCATATGATTTTGTGGATACAATTTTGTTACAAAAGGGGAGTTCGCTCTTTTAATTGGTCGTTTAAAAAGAGGTTATTGCTGTAAAGCTTCTTCACTGCAAAATGTCAATTTTCTGCTTACCCTAAAAAAATCTTAACAAAACAAACCACACCACAAACCTTAACAGTATATGTTTGAACCATAGGAGTGGACTGAAAAACGTTTTGTTTGTTCGTCCAGCTCCGTGCTGGTCTGTAAATAATCCAATCAGGGCTAGAAAATCCAGTGATTAACATTATGACCATCGATCTACACAAGTAAAAACAGAACATGAAATCCACCAAGTCACCGACTCTTGGGTTGTGGAGGACCTATTCTAGCCTGGAATCGACACAGGAACGGGTGAGGATGGTAGTTACGTACCTGTCGATGTGGGGGATGTTGTTGGTGAAGGAGCAGCTGGGAGAGAAAAACAGACACGTCACATGTGTAAAAGACGTCATGTGATTTTGTGGAGATATAATTTAGTTTCAAAAGGGGGCTTCGCTCTATTTAAAGGGTCGTTTAAAAAGTTGTTATTGCTGTAAAGCTACCTCAGTGCAAAATTTCAATTTTCGGGTTACCCTGAACAAATCTTAACAAAATAAACAAGAACACCAACCTTAATAGCATAAGTTTGAACTGATGGAATGGTTTGACGACAGTTTCGTTTGTGTGTACGTTGTTTAACGCCGAAATCAGCAATATTCACGCTACATGCTGGTCTGTAAATAATCCAATTAGGGCCAGAAATTCCAGTGATTAACATTATTAGCATCGATCTACGCAATTGAAAACAATAGCATGAAATCCATCATGTCATCGACTCTGATCCACAACGTCGCCTCTCAAAACACGCATGGGTTTTTGATGACCTATTCTAGCCTGGAATCGACAAGGGAACGGGTGAGGGTGGAAGTTACGTACCTGTCGACGTAGGGGATGTTGTTGGTGAAGGAGCAGCTAGAAAGAGAACAACAGACACGTACTATTTGTACAAGACGTCATATGATTTTGTGGATACAATTTTGTTACAAAAGGGGAGTTCGCTCTTTTAATGGGTCGTTTAAAAAGAGGTTATTGCTGTAAAGCTTCTTCACTGCAAAATGTCAATTTTCTGTTTACCCTAAAAAAATCTTAACAAAACAAACCACACCACAAACCTTAACAGTATATGTTTGAACCATAGGAGTGGACTGAAAAACGTTTTGTTTGTTCGTCCAGCTCCGTGCTGGTCTGTAAATAATCCAATCAGGGCCAGAAAATCCAGTGATTAACATTATGACCATCGATCTACACAAGTAAAAACAGAACATGAAATCCACCAAGTCACCGACTCTTGGGTTGTGGAGGACCTATTCTAGCCTGGAATCGACACAGGAACGGGTGAGGATGGTAGTTACGTACCTGTCGATGTGGGGGATGTTGTTGGTGAAGGAGCAGCTGGGAGAGAAAAACAGACACGTCACATGTGTAAAAGACGTCATGTGATTTTGTGGAGATATAATTTAGTTTCAAAAGGGGGCTTCGCTCTATTTAAAGGGTCGTATAAAAAGTGGTTATTGCTGTAAAGCTACCTCAGTGCAAAATTTCAATTTTCGGGTTACCCTGAACAAATCTTAACAAAATAAACAAGAACACCAACCTTAATAGCATAAGTTTGAACTGATGGAATGGTTTGACGACAGTTTCGTTTGTGTGTATGTTGTTTAACACCGCAATCAGCAATATTCGCGCTACATGCTGGTCTGTAAATAATCCAATTAGGGCCAGAAATTCCAGTGATTAACATTATTAGCATCGATCTACGCAATTGAAAACAATAGCATGAAATCCATCATGTCATCGACTCTGATCCACAACGTCGCCTCTCAAAACACGCATGGGTTTTTGATGACCTATTCTAGCCTGGAATCGACAAGGGAACGGGTGAGGGTGAAAGTGACGTACCTGTCGACGTAGGGGATGTTGTTGGTGAAGGAGCAGCTAGAAAGAGAACAACAGACACGTACTATTTGTACAAGACGTCATATGATTTTGTGGATACAATTTTGTTACAAAAGGGGAGTTCGCTCTTTTAATGGGTCGTTTAAAAAGAGGTTATTGCTGTAAAGCTTCTTCACTGCAAAATGTCAATTTTCTGTTTACCCTAAAAAAATCTTAACAAAACAAACCACAACACCAACCTTAACAGTATATGTTTGAACCATAGGAGTGGACTGAAAAACGTTTTGTTTGTTCGTCCAGCTCCGTGCTGGTCTGTAAATAATCCAATCAGGGCCAGAAAATCAAATTATTAACATTATGACCATCGATCTACACAAGTAAAAACAGAACATGAAATCCACCAAGTCACCGACTCTTGGGTTGTGGAGGACCTATTCTAGCCTGGAATCGACACAGGAACGGGTGAGGATGGTAGTTACGTACCTGTCGATGTGGGGGATGTTGTTGGTGAAGGAGCAGCTGGGAGAGAAAAACAGACACGTCACATGTGTAAAAGACGTCATGTGATTTTGTGGAGATATAATTTAGTTTCAAAAGGGGGCTTCGCTCTATTTAAAGGGTCATTTAAAAAGTGGTTATTGCTGTAAAGCTACCTCAGTTTAAAATTTCAATTTTCGGGTTACCCTGAACAAATCTTAACAAAATAAACAAGAACACCAACCTTAATAGCATAAGTTTGAACTGATGGAATGGTTTGACGACAGTTTCGTTTGTGTGTACGTTGTTTAACACCGCACTCAGCAATATTCGCGCTACATGCTGGTCTGTAAATAATCCAATTAGGGCCAGAAAGTCCAGTGATTAACAGTATTAGCATCGATCTACGCAATTGAAAACAATAGCATGAAATCCATCATGTCATCGACTCTGATCCACAACGTCGCCTCTCAAAACACGCATGGGTTTTTGATGACCTATTCTAGCCTGGAATCGACAAGGGAACGGGTGAGGGTGGAAGTTACGTACCTGTCGACGTAGGGGATGTTGTTGGTGAAGGAGCAGCTAGAAAGAGAACAACAGACACGTACTATTTGTACAAGACGTCATGTGATTTTGTGAATACAAATGTGTTTCAAAAGGCGAGTTCTCTCTTTTTAATAGGTCTTTTATTGCTTTAAAGCTACTTCACTGCAAAATGTCAATTTTCAGGCTACCCACAACAAATCTTAACAAAACAAACAACACCGCCAACCTTAACAGTACATGTTTGAACTAAAGGAATGGTGTGAAGACAGTTTTGTTTGTTAGCCCAGCTCCATGCTGGTCTGAAAATAATCCAATCTGGGCCAGAAAATCCAGTGATTAACATTATGACCATCGATCTACGCAATTGGAAACAGAACATGAAATCCACCAAGTCACCGACTCGTGGGTTGTTGAGGACCTATTTTAGCCTGGAATCGACACGGAAACGGTTGAGGATGGTTGTTACGTACCTGTCGATGTGGGGGCTGTTGTTGGTGAAGAAGCAGCTAGAAAGAGAACAACAGACACGTAATATTTGTACAAGACGTCATGTGATTTTGTGGATACAATTTTGTTCGAAAAGGAATTGGCTCTTTCTAATAGGTCGTTTAAAAAGTGATTATTGCTGTTAAGTCACCTACTTCAAAATGTCATTTTTCGGTTTCCCTTGACATATATTTTTGTTTAGTTATCAGCCAAAGGAAAACAAATGCTAGATGTCCATCGTCAACCTTAGCAGTAAATATTTGAACTGGAGGAATGCTTTGAGGATAACTGTATTAAGATAAATACCTACCGCTCAACTTGGAAACTCCATCGCACGTAATTGATCTATTGCTGTTGTCACATCTAAACATAACACTGACATTTCCAAAACGATCAGATGAGACGTTGAAGAAGTGGTGCTGGACAGTGTCGGTGATGTTGTGCGTGGTCTGGTTCTGCAACAAGACGTCTGTGACGCTGCCTGTAGTTAGATCAAACCCAGCTTGTTGAGAACAGTAGTAGCCTCTGATGTCTACTGTCAGGGTGAGATTTGTACCTGGCTCCAGTACATCAGTGTCTGTATCACTGCTGATGTTGCACTGTGGGGGACCTGGTCAGTAAATCATGTGCATGTCAATGTCACTCTAATTTCTGGTGTTTAAAAGAGATAAGTGTCACCCAGCAAAAAGCATTAATGCATTTACTTCCAAAATTGAAAATATCTAAAGAAATATATTTATTTTCAATTTTCTCAGTGAATAGATACTGATTTGTACTTATAACAACCCTAAATTTAGACTCACTTTTTAACAACCTCTTAACTCCACTACAGCTCAGATCACTGCTCATGATGTCACATGCAAACGACACCGTGACGTCACCAAAACGTGAAAGGACAATATTGATAGTTTTGTTAATGACGTCAGGTTGGACATCACTGACGTTGTGTTTTGTCGACAACGTCTCCATGACAGCACCAGTGGTAAGGTTAAAGCCAGTTTCCTGGGAACAGTAGTAGTCGTTGATGTACACTGTGACTGTCAGGTTTGTGCCGAGCTCAAGGGCGTCTGTGTCCACATCACTGCTGATGTTACATTCTGGAGTTTCTTTTGACAGAAAAAATTCAAAGTGTTGATGATACCAAAAATGACTTTATCAACTTGTCACCACTAAAATTCCGTTGGAAACATAACCAATTCAGGTGTTGTTTGGTTTGTTGGTTGTTTAACGCCGCACTCAGCAGTATTCCAGCGATATGACGGCGGTCTGTAAATAATCGAGTCTGGGCCAGACAATCAAGTCATTGAAAACATGAGTATCGATCCACGCAATTGGGTGTTGGTAGACAGTTACATGTATATATATTTCAGTTACAATTTATATATTTGACCGGCTGATAACATATTGGCTGATCAGTTTTACATATTAAAGCAATATTCATTAATGTAACTTGTCTAATGTCCGAATGTCAGCGCTAAGAATTTGTTTTCGCCTATCCCCTCAGAACATTTTGATAGGGATACCTGCATGTATTGTGACGTTGTAACAATACATACTCATTGTGTGATTGCATAACATTATGTTTTATCCTGAGCCTTCGCGGTAGATAACATGAACAACCAAACGAAAATAGCAGTAGCTGAACAATTTTGACTTGAGGACAGACATAGTAAAACGTAAATCAATAATGAACGAGAGAGAGAGGTCAAATGCTTACTTGAAAAGTTACTGATGGTTAACCTTTTAAATTCGCATTTGTTGGAATATAGTCACCAAGGAACCGTTGATTATGGAATTTAACCATTCTTTTGACAATGTTGACTTCACCGGCGGGGATCACGGGAAATAATATAGGTCCCCAGCAACCTATGCTTGTCGTTAGAGGTGACTAAAAGGATCGCTTGGTCAGTGACTTGGTTGATGTATGTCGTCACCAAGCCTGGCATCCCGATCCATTTAGTTGCCCCTTACGTCAGTGACACTTACGAACAGCAAAAACATGTTCCTAGGAAGCTGTTTTGTTACCAGGAAACTACATGGTTTATGGCTAGATCCGATGATCTATAATCTGTCGAAATGTTTTGTGTAAATACTCACTAGCTGCGGTGAGATGACACACGTCTACAGGGATGGCACCCCCTACATTCGCATCCAAGATCTTCCATGTACCAGCATCTGCCACCCCAACACTGTGTATAGTGAGTGTAGAGTGTGTGCCCTTAAAATGGGATAGTAATACGTAGAAAACAATTACAATATTTGACTTGAATCCCCCTTGTACTCACTGGAGACCATCACTTCCCACACGCCTTGCGGCGCACTTGTATCATTTATTGCATCTTGTATCCTCCATGTTCCAGCATCATTCACTCCGACACTGTGTATAGTGAGTGTAGAGTGTGTGGCGTTCATAGTTGCACTGTATCCAGCCACGGGGCTGCAGCTGGGGTTGCAGGTGACGACATACCGACCGTCAGTTGGTCGTACCCATATAAAGCCGGTATAGTTGCTTCTGGCACCAGTTATGGTGTATTCTGTCTTCAAGGTTGCCACTCCACCTGGACTCGGGGCTTGTGTAGGGGATACACCTACAGTAGCAGTGAAACACCAACAACTACAAGGCTGATCTACTTCAGAATTTACCACAGTAACTGTTTTTAGTTTATGGAGGTATTTAAGTAAAACCGGTGCTCATATTGTGTAGTTACCTCCTTAAATGCACAATTCTATTTTACTAAATTGTTATAAATAAATAAGTCAACAGTAATAAATTTACATCAACTGTAGACACCTCTTCGAAATCAGTAACATCGTTCATTCTATTTTTAGCCGATAGGAAACAGCATCCGCTTGTTGGCTTTACACAGTTGCTTGGGTAAAAAATATTTGACATATAAATGTGAAGTAAAAAGCAAATCTAAATCATATGATTTTGAAGGATGATGACACATACTTAATCGTTACATTAAGTGAAAAAACTTAAATGATATATATTTAACCTGGCTTCTTTTTAAACATTTTTGACATTTAAACATACTTACCATGGATGAAAGTCACAGTCAGAACCAGTAATACATGTACTTGGTTTTGTTTAACCATCATTTTCAACAAACTGGAAAGAGAAATACACAGCGAGATTGCTATATTTTTCTCAACTCAGTCTAGATAAAGACAATATTTGGTATATTTAACTTTTTGGCGTCTGCAAACATTAACTATCATCATATCGTTTTTTGAAAGTATGTGCTTTTATGAGAAGTGAAGGTGGCACAGTGGGTAATGTGTTCGCTCATCACACCAAAGGAGCGGGATCAATTCCCTCATGTGTAAAATGTGTGAAGCTCATTTCTTGTGTCCAACGCATTGATTTTGTAGTGCCATTGCCAACAGCAGCGTAAAACAATCCTCATTCACTTTATTACGCAAATAGGTTACGAACAAAAATATATCCTTGTTTGACATAAAAAAAAAGTAAATAAGCACTTTCTGTATATAAATTTGGTTAAATTGAAAAAAAATGATAACGTAGTGATTGTACTACTTGCTGTCGTAGAAATATCTGAAAGTAAATAATGAAAAACAAATCATTTAAGAAATATGTACACTGAGCTGTAAAATATTTCCCAAACCTATCCCATGCAACAATAATTGTATTCAAAAGGAAACTACGTTGATAACGAACATTCTTACAACGAACTGACGGATATAACGAACTTATTTTTGGTCCCGGACATTTGCTGTATATATGCTTAAAATGTGCTTACAACAAACGACGGTTATAACGAACTAATATTATTGGTCCCTTTGAATTCGTTATAACCGTGGTTTACTGTACATGAACAATCATGACCAATCAGCTTCAGTAACGTACAGAGAGTGCAGCTTACATGGTACAAGAAGGGACATTTAACATTTGCCAGCCAGAGTTTTGAACCCTCGTGTTATAATGTTCACTATCTTGAATCCTTGTGCACAGAACAAGTATGAAAGACATTTTTTCTTTCTTGATGAGATCCATGTTTTAGCATTGCATCAGCTTTGGACCCATAAATAAATTGTACATGTTGAAGTGTTTAATCCCAGTTTATTGATTCACCCGGCATGTGGATACGTGACTCAACTAATCTATTCCTCAATAATCCGTCCGAATGCCTAACCTGTTTCGCTCACCTGGTCATTGATATAAATAGCTCTAGCCAAATAATTTAATCGATCAAATCTCGGACCCTTGCAAGGAACATTCGGGAGTCTTCTGAGTCATGTTTTAACATACAACACACAGTCACGTTATCGCCACTGCATTATTCGATTTTAATGTTCGGAAAAAACTATTTACAGGTTTATATATATACAGGGTCACCCTCACTTTGACCCAAACCCTTACCCCCCCCACCCCCCCTCCCACACACACACACACACACACGGCCTCACACACACACACACATACACGGCCTCTCACACACACACACACACACACACACACACACACACACACACACACACACACACACACACACACACACACACACACACACACACACACACACACACACACACACACACACACACACTCACTCACACACACACACACACACACCCTCACACACACACACACCACACCCACAGACCCTCATCCTCACCCACATCCACACCCTCACACACACACACACTCGACCTCACCCCGCCCCACACCCCTGACACCCACCCACCCACACCCTCACCCACACCCACAACCACACACATCAATAAACATATATATGATTATTTCAGTCCCAAGCAATGCATCACATATAGTTCACGTAACTTTGACCAATTTCATCAATCGCACTTGAAAGCTGAATGTAATTCACACTTTAGATCATGTCATAACCATTCAAGACACGAATGCACGAACACCCACCATGGTGCATGATGTTATAGAATATACAACATAACTGACCCTTTCATTTCAATACAAGTCATAACAAAATGATACACATAAACTTACAAGTACCAGATAGAAAAGCGTTGAAGTGATAGTAATGGCGTAAATGCGCCCCGTGGACCGTCATGCATTGTGCAAGCTACCTCATAAAACACCCGTCTGTCAACTTACACAATACGGCCTTCGTATTTATTTGTATTCAGTATGATAGATAGGTACACAATCGATCATGTGCACGAATGTAAATACATAATTGCAAGCGTCTCACCTTTTTGGCTGATGTAACGAACCAAACTATACTTTTCAAAGTGTAGTCCCAAGCACTGTCAAGTAATCCCGTTCAGATCAATCCACCATGTTGGGGTTTTGTCTCGTCATGTGCGTGACATCGATATGTGCATAGGCATGTTGAACATGACAACTGCTACTTGGGGGCCAGTGTAGCAGGGTCGTAGGAGGCGTCGCTATTCTCTCTGCAGCACTGTGCCCGTCAGGTGTACCAGAGATCTGTAACTCTGGGTTCGAATCTGCCAAAGTCACCCTGACAATGTTTCTAGGTGTGTTAGCACTGTGGTCGTGTTTAAATGGTACAGAACAGTTATGTTTTAATATTCTGTGATAAGATCTTTCAATTTTGCTGTAAAACTAACATTAACATTTCTTAATCGATTTTAAAACAGTACTAACCAAATATGACACTTTCATTACAAGGGAAGAATGTAGGAGGGGTGTAACAGTTTATAGCAGATGGTCATGATTATACCGAGTCATACGTTTGACTCCATCACGATACAGGAGTGTTTTCCTTTTTGTTAGATGGAAAGTCGACTTGAATGTTCCTGAAGTGTTCAGCACTGTTTATGTATTTCGCTTGAATGTTCCTGAACTGTTCAGCACTGTTTATGTATATTGCTTGAATGTTCCTGAACTGTTCAGCACTGTTTATGTATATCGCTTGAATGTTCCTGAACTGTTCAGCACTGTTTATGTATATCGCTTGAATGTTCCTGAACTGTTCAGCACTGTTTATGTATATTGCTTGAATGTTCCTGAACTGTTCAGCACTGTTTATGTATATCGCTTGAATGTTCCTGAACTGTTCAGCACTGTTTATGTATATCGCTTGAATGTTCCTGAACTGTTCAGCACTGTTTATGTATATCGCTTCAATGTTCCTGAACTGTTCAGCACTGTTTATGTATATCACTGACATCGGACACACTGGTGTGCGTGTGAGGGTGGTTGGAAGAAAGTTTGAGGGTGTGGGTGTGGGTGTGGGTGTGGGTGTGGGTGTGGTTGTGTGGATGTGTGTGGGTGTGTGTTAGGCAGTGGGTGTTGGTGTGGGTGTTGGTGTGGGTGTGCGGATGTGTTTGGGTTTGTGTTAGGGTGTGGGTGTGGATGGTTGTAAGTGTGGGTGTGGGTGTGGGTGTGGATGGTTGTAAGTGTGGGTGTGGGTGTGGGTGTGTGTTAGGCAGTGGGTGTTGGTGTGGGTGTGGGTGTGGGTGTGCGGATGTGTGTGGGTGTGTGTTAGGGTGTGGGTGTGGATGGTTGTAAGTGTGGTCGTGGGTGTGGGTGTGGGTGTGGGTGTGGGCATGGGTGTAGGTGTTCGTGTGGGTTTCTGGGTGTGGGTGTGGGTGTGAGTGTGGTCGTGGGTGTGGGGTGGTAGGTGTTGATTTTGGTGAACACACCTCCCGTATCTCCACCAGGCGCCAGACCTCGTGAATCACAGCAATCACATAATGTGATATCCAGATGATCTATAACCATTATGCTATGAGTGTCACAAATTCAATAACCATTTCATGATTAGGTCTTTGAAAGGCATTTAAAAGTGATACACATAAGGAAGATGAAGGAGTATGCATCTCCTCCAAAACGTTGTGTCCCTCATAACAAAGAAGTTGCGACCCAGAAATCCTCGTCATTGCCGCCGCTAGGTAATTGGGGATGGTTATCAAATGATAATGATATATTTATTATTTCATTAATGTTAAACGAGCCTGTAGATAATCGAATCAATCCAGTGATTGATATCATGATCCACGTCGGGGTGCGATGCCACGCAATCGACCTAGTTACCAAATCTGATCGACCAATCAATCTTGTACGATAAAACATAGGTTTCCGATGGTTACATGTTGGGACCACGACAGGAGCTGCTATGCCTTCTGCTGAGGCATCCTCATTGAGCCCTATGCTATGTGGATGGGTGTGGATAGGTGTATGCTATCTATTTAATTCAAATTATCACCTGCTACATCCACAGTTGACATATCAATAGCTTTCAAGGCATACAGCGGCCTGTCACAAACTTTAGTAATCTCGCCTACCCACATGTGCAGTGGTGCTATCTCTATGTTATAATATGTGTACAATTATTATAAGTCGATCTTATGTCATCGCTTATTAGGAATATTGATTTTACTTGGCCATATGTTATAAGGCCACAGAGCGCTAGATTTCACCGAAATAGATATTATTAGATCAATGCGAAATCATATGTTATGAACGCAAGGCATGTAATGTGTGAACTGCTTTCAATAATCTCGATACCACTTGAGCACATTCAGACAAGGCATGAGACTTCGTTTATATACAATGCGCCTTATATTAAGTACACATGCTTGACATACTCAAGCTATGACGTTGAGTTCACCGTAGCTCTGCACGCCCTGCTGTTTGTTGGTGATTAAAGCAAGTGAAAACTTGTCGATTGAACTATGTAGTCTAGAGCCCAAACCTCGTTGTGTATTATCAGTGGTAAAGCGTATTTAGGCTCAATAATATAATGTTTGCGTGACGTGGGTTTGAAGTCGCTTTTGACAGTGTTTCAAGTATACCACGGCGCGCCAGCGTAACGTGGGAGGAAAGCCCGTAGTGACGCAGGTCATACACGTTTGCAACTCGGTTGGAAGCCACGAGAACGGAAATGGTGCCGACAAATCAACAAACACAAATGCGCGAATTTGGGATTCGAACCCACTAAAAGTGGACCGAGGTCTCATGAAATCAACTCTGTTCAATGAAGACGGTGTGTTAGGCTATTTGGCCTGCCATTCACACTCGATGGTAGGAATAATCCCAACAATAGCTGATAACATTTAATTACAATAATTTTCAAGTTTCATAATTTTTATATACTTTTACATTCAACCTAACAGATACGGTTGACCATGAATATCCGGGGTAGAATAGGTCTTCAGCAACCCATGCTTGTCTTAAGAGGCGACTAAAGTGATCGGTGGTCATACTCGCTGACTTGGTTGATGTATGTCAAAGTATCCCATTTGCGTAGATCGATGTTTCATATATCAATCACTATGTCCGGTCTCGATAATTTACAGACCGCCGTCATACAGCTGGAATATTGCTGAGTGCGGCGTTAAACAACAAGCAAACAAACAAACAAACAATACAGATTGGGTATAAAACGGCGTAACAGATTAAAAATATTAGGTATTTATATTATAACTAAAATCTACCAACAAATGATTCCATACAAGTCCTGAATTGTTTACAACTTGATACAATGTGTATATAGTTTCTAACCAAAGGTATAGCATTGTAAGACACCATTAGACGCGTCATATTGTAATGTACTATATATTATACAGATAGGAATATAGCTGTCCATGTTTCGATTGAGCATAAATAACATTAGAAAGCATATCCTTTGTAGGGATCACAGTGTGTGCTTTTCGCAAGAGTGAATAATATTCCCCATTATACACACGGAGAGAAAAATGTGGTCACATAATCCCTTTTCGCAAATGACGTCCAATATCTACATCATACAACTTGCTTACACTAAGCATCGGGTGTTGAAGTTTCGTCTACCCTGACACGCTGTTTTTGAAGGTATTAGTGAGAACATATTTGGAAGTATTTGTTGTGAGTCAGGGGTTTTCAAGCTCATATTACTATATCAGCAACATCCAGGTGGGGGCCACCAGAAATAGTTCACACATGTACCCACGTTCGGAATCGAGCCGGGCTTCGGCGTGAGTAGAGACCACTTTCACCTCTAGGCTAGCCCCACATGCACGCCATGAGGCCCCGAATAATTGCAAAGATGGTAAAATTACTTCCCATTTGACTAATTAATAGTCATAGAGTTGAGGGGGCCCAGCCGTCCAAGGCGCCACGATTCGCTGTGCACAGTTGCGTCCCTTGGGCACGCCAGAAACCTGTGATTGTGGGTTCGAATCCCAGTTCGCCCCGATTAGGTTTCAGCATACCCGTGCTCGTAGGTTTCAGGGAAGTGATAAACGGTAGACCTGCATCACTTCGGGCTTTCATCCCGCATTAAGCTGACACGCCGTGATATAACTGTAATACTGTTAAAAGCGGCGTTAAACGCAACTCACTCACTCATAGAGTGTAACGAGAGCTGCATTTAGATATAAGATATCAATGCTAAGCTATTCACTAACTTTCACTGTTGTTGGTTGCGATATTATCTTGCGACAGATTTTTGTTTAACTGGTTGACGTGGGGCTATTTTTGGATGAGATCAAGGGTTATTTGTTCATAATGAACGGTTCGAGTAATGACTCGTGATGGAGTTAGTGAGTAGGATTGAGTTTGTGAGAGGGATGGAGTTTGTGAGTGGGATGGAGTTTGTGAGTTTGATGGGGTTTGTGAGAGGGATGGAGTTTGTGAGCGGGATGGAGTTAGTGAGCGACAAAGAGTTAGTGAGCGGGAGGGGGTGTGTGAGCGGGAGGGATAGTGTCAGTGGGATGGAGTTTGTCAGTGGGATGGAGTTTGTGAGTGGGATGGAGTTTGTCAGTGGGATGAAGTTTGCGAGTGGGATGGAGTGTGTCAGTGGGATGGAGTTTGTGAGTGGGATGGAGTGTGTCAGTGGGATGGAAGTTGGTGAGTGGGATGGAGTGTGTCAGTGGGATGGAAGTTGGTGAGTGGGACGGGGTTATTGAGCGTGATGGAGTAAGTGAGCTGAATGGAGTTTGTCAGTGGGATGGAGTAAGTGAGCAGAATGGAGTTTGTAAGAGGGATGGAATTTGTGAGCGGGAGGGAGTATGTGAGCGGCATGAAGTTTGTGAGTGAGATGGAGTTTGTCATCTTGAGGGAGTTTGTGATCTTGAGGGAGTTTGTGAGCAGGATGGAGTTTTTGAGCAGGATGGAGTTTGTTAGCAGGATGGAGTTTTTGAGCAGGATGGAGTTTGTTAGCAGGATGGAGTTTGTAAGCAGGATGGAGTTTGTAAGCAGGATGGAGTTTGTGAGCAGGATGGAGTTTGTTAGCAGGATGGAGTTTTTGAGCAGGATGGAGTTTGTGAGCAGGATGGAGTTTGTAAGCAGGATGGAGTTTGTAAGCAGGATGGAGTTTGTGAGCAGGATGGGGTTTGTGAGTGGGATGGAGGTCGTGAGAGGGATTGAGTTAGTGAGCAAGTAAGAGTAAGTGAGCGAGATGGAGTTAGTGGGCGGGAGGGAGCCTGAACCGTCTCGAAATATAACCATACGGACTACATTAGCTTCTCTGCCCCAGAATTACAACAGGACCAAATGAATATTCATGAAGGTGGACAAACAGAATAAACAATTGAGTGCTGTTTTTCACAACACTCCAGCTGCATAGAGTCCGAGACGATAATCAAAACAGAAGTGTAGAAACTCAGATCCTATTTTTTATTTCTGATAAATTAACATGTGTCTTCTTTATGATTGCGGATTGTTTGAAAATGAGTAAGTTGAATCAATACATACATTATGGCTCTTTTGCAACACCATGTCATTAAATACCAGTCAACGTGGTTGATGTTGTACACACCGTACATGAAGCATAACACGCAGGAAATGTCTAAAGAACACATATTTGTCGTGTACTTTTCTCAACACAGGCTGCATGCTCGTCACTAAGGATTATCGTGGCATATTAATTGTAGAATGTCTGAAGCGTTAAGACGGCCAATTATTGGAATGGAAACTGCAGGGGACCCGTGAAGATCCAGGAAAGAATATATCTTCAGCAACCAATGCTTGTCGTAAAAGGTGACTGTGCTTGTCGTAAGAGACAACTAACGGGATCGGGTGGTCAGGCTCGCAGACTTGATGGATGCATGTCATCAATCCCAATTCAGTGGATCGATGTTCAGGATGTCAATCACTGGATTATTTGGTCCAGACTTGACTATTTACAGACCGCCGTCATATAGCTAGATTGTTGCTGAGTGCGGCGTTAAGCAAGAAACAAACAAGGAAACAAAAAAACAAAACAAAGCAAACTGCAGGGATGTCATGTTTGGACGTTACGTCAACTTTGACGTAACCATACTGTTGTTTCAAGATTAGTGCAGAAATACTGACGGACAAATGAAGGTACGACCAGGCCACGCCCAGGTCAGCCTCGCAAGACATCCAGGAGAAAAGATTATTAAGGCTCGTAAGGCGACGTCCATTTGACAAAAGAACAGCTTTAAAGGCACAGTTGCTGCCAGGCATATTCATTTCAATCAGAAACATCAGACATCGTCAGAAAACAGCTGGATACAGAGCCAGAAGACGAACCAAACGTCCCTCGGTAACTCAGGGTCATACAGTGGCTCGTTTCGTGTGGTCGAGAGTCCACTGTTCTGATGACGGCTGGTTTCTGTTACACATGGTAGATGGTCGTACACGTGTCTGGAGAAACACAAATACAGCCGTGGCTGCACGCAACATCCTAGAAACCCATCTATTTGGTGGGGGATCGGTAATCGTATTGGGATGTGTTTCATTAAGTTGTAAACTTGACTTCATCGCAGTGCATGCTTATCTGAACGCACCTGAATCTTGTTACAGAAGTTTAAGATTAGCAGTAATTGTAATCACAATATACTCAGTAAACCGTGTCAATCACAAGAGTCACCTGTTTTCGTTATATTACTAATTATTGGGTTTAATATCATAGTCAACTTTAGAGGGGACTGTTTGATGTTGGCTATGTCCATCCATCACTGAATGTTCGCGCTAGCAGCACTTGTCAGACATAACATAATTACCACTGTGTGTCACTACGCTATTTACATCCATGAATAATATACCTACTGTTGTCATTATGCACGATTTTTGTTCAGGTTGATGCATTCCATGGTATCTTGCCATTATATTTGTTCACCGTTTGGATTCATGATGTATTTTGAGTGATAACAACGATGTTTGTCAGGGACTATTTCGTGTTTACACTCTTGCATCCTGGCTATTTTGAGAAAGTTAGTTGACATTTGATCTAGATAAACACTGACTATATGGCTTCAAGAAATATTTAATAACTTTAAGATTTAAACACTTTACATATGGTCTTTGAAAGGCATTTAAAAGTGATTCACATAAGAAAAAAAAATATATGATTGTAAACTTCTTTATTATGAAGAACAAAACGTTTCGGAGTGTATGCTTACTCCTTCATCAGGTGAATGAATGCCATGAGGCAGAGAGCATATATATGTATTTGTAGGTACAACAAAATGAATAAAATAACAAAAGGTGGAAAATAACAAAGGGTACAAGCTAACAAAGGAAGCCAACAAAACAGATGATTGGCGCTGATAGATGATTAGCAAAAGATAATGTAAGCCAACACTTAAGTTAGCAATAGATAATGTAAGCCAACGCTTAAGTTAAGTAATTGGTAATGGACACTTGGCAAATAGGGGTGGGGGGTGGGGGGTGATAGGCGTAAGAATTGAAGCTAGCTAGACAATTAGCCCCGACAAGTCCTAAGCACCAGGCAGATAGGTTCCCTGGTCACGGTTCATGACTGGCTAGTGTCTCCTGACGTCAATGGCTTCTTGTAGTTTCCTTTGTCGCCAGTTGTTGTTGTTGGTAGACAGGACTTTACATATGCATTGGATATTCGGGAAAACAGTTTTTGATCTTGAGATTTAAATATCTAGATACCTCTTATCTTACACAAGCTTTTGTGGGTACAAGTACTGAGTATTGAATCAAGATATCAGTATAGGAGTTGCTTCTACTTTCTGCACCAACACAAACCTCCAACCTTTCGTTAATATGATTTCCTCTCAGAGTAATATAATTAAAAAGACCATTATAGCAAGAACGATCACGATGGGGATCACAATTGCGGCAATAGCACCTGGAGAAACCCAACCTTCAACAACAGTCGTGGACCTTGGAGTTGTTGAAGAAGAGAGACGGCTGGACGATGACGTGATGGCGGTGTCCGAGCTTGTTGATCCTACAACAGGGGAAAGCAGTATAGTTTTGTAGGTAATGATAGCTGCACACGTTACGAACCCTAACATTCGTCTATTATATAAACAAAGTTAGAAAACACTTACCATAATATTGAGAAGTATATGCCAAAAGTTAAAAGAGTTCATTGTACAATTTGAGCAACACATTAATGTAGTGATGCTTTAAAGTCTGCTCCCTAATTATCCGACTGTGCATTTTAACAGTGACAATATCAGGCACAGACTTAGCTCGATCTTAAAGACATTCACACAGTTCATCTTCTCTATTGGACCAATTCTTGACACGTCTTGACACATCCAAAACCATGATTACAACTGATAAAAGGCTGCTCGCGATATTTTGGGCCATATTTGAACAGCTGACGAAGGTTGTTATTGTCAACAATAGCGAAGGCACCTGTGATTATATGAGTGAGTTTGGTTTAACGCCGCTTTCAACAGTATACTAGTCATATCGCGGCGTATCAACTTAATGTAGGAGGAAAGCCCGAAGAGAAGCAGGTCTCAGACGTTTACCACTTCCCTGGACGGGTATGGTGCTGACATACCACGAGCACGGGTATGATGCTGACAAACGTAGAAACATAATCGGGGCGAACCGGGATTCGAACCCACAATCTTAGGTTTCTGGCGCGCCCAAGGGACGCAACTCAGCACAGCGAATCGCGGCGCCCTAGACGACTGGTCTACCCGCGCCCCCGTGAATATATGACCAACATTATTGGTTTAAACATATTTGTATTCATTGAAATGAGTTGGGATTGGTGAACAAGCTTTACAGCTTATGTTAACACCGCTCCGATACAACATATGTTACATATTGAAATGAAGGATGTGACGTCATTGATATAGACATTACTTAAATAATAAGTTTGTAAATATAACAAATACAAAGTGAACATCAATAGAAAGTTACAGCTTGTGTGTGTCTAACAAGTCGTTTGTAACAAAAGTAATAGTCAATCATGAGGTTTTTGTCCGGTTAATTTAATTATTAATTTGTGAAGAGCTGAAACGTTTTGTCTTGAAGATGAAATCGTGGAAGGATTCAACTAATTTCTGGTTTTCAGAGTGAGCAAGTTCATTGTTTCCATTCATAATAGTATCCAGGTTAAAACCGGTAGTGTAAAAATGCATATTTAGTCTTATCTGAGTAAAGTTACAGCAAGTACAAACATAATGTATGGCGTTTTCACTCTGATATCCAGGAGCAACACGGGCTGGCAATTAGATGTCTGTTATACTACTTATCAGCGTTTAGGTCGCTACAACCGAGTCTGAGGCGACAGTGAACAATTTGACAGCACGAATGCCATAGCTAAGGTTAGCATATTTTCGGTTTTCGTAATTAGGTTTATAAATTCTGACAGACTACTTGACTCTTTGGACTTTGGTAAAGCATTCCATAAGTGTATTGTGTCTGGTAAAAAGGATTTGGCGTAAGTAGAAGTACGGCTATAACTTCCTTGTATTTCAGAACTGTTTCTTAAGTTATAGTTTGTAGTTTCGGAGACAAAGTTTGGGATCAAATCAAAAAGATAGCTTGGGAATTCGTTGTTATACATTTTAAAGAAAAAAAGTTATTTTTTGGTAGTGTCTTCTATCTTGCAAGGATTGAGATTTAGTTTCATTATAAAGTTTCTTATGACTTTTGCCACGAACGGCACCACATATAGTTCTCAGGGCATCAAGATGTAAGCTTTCTAATATACGCGATTGCTAAGACGTACAGTTATCCCAAATATGCGAACAATAGTCAAATATTGGCAAGATATAGGACTTATACATAGTATCCAGGGTTTTGCGTGATAATTGGTATTTAAAACTAATCAGACAACTGATCATAGGGCGAACTTTTTGTACAATATCATTAATGTGATCAGTCCATGTACAGTCGCTTTGGAGTGTCACTCCTAAATGTGTATGACTTTTGACTTCTTTTATGATTGTTCCGTCCATAAGTAGGTTCGGCTTTAGAGACGGTTTAGCTTTACGTGAGAATTGGATGGTTTCGGTCTTATTTGGGTTAAATGTAAACTGCCACTTACGGTATTACGGTATCATAGGTTCCTGGCGTGCCCAAGGGACGCAACTCTGCACAGCGAATCGCGGCGCCCTAGACGACTGGGCCACCCGTGCCCCCGTGAATAAATGACCAACAGTATTATGACCATGGCTGTGCCAGCACCGTAACAGATACAGACTCAATACATTGTTTTGGCAGTTAGATGGTTGGCAGTCTGTTTTGTCTTTACATTCACACGACATTGATGTACACAACCGTCGAAACGAATAATTTTCATAATTATCCGTCGACTGCATTTAAAGATTTAAAGCTATTAGATGCATGCTACTTGTTTCTAATGTCCTAGCATTTATGCAAAGGATGGAGTGATTTGCACAACTGACAATATGTCTGTGGATGCCCAATCTATGCTGACGTTGTTTCGAAAACTTTCGTTGTGTCTTTTCAACATACATCAATCCCTAAAGGGTACGTTGAATGTCATAGATTGTGTTTGTTTAATTTGACATGACATGTTCTATGCCCAAATGTGTTAGATTTGAATCACACACACACACACACACACACACACACACACACACACACACACACACACACACACACACACATAAGAATTAGTCAGTTACTACCTTTTTCATGCGAATTAATTAATGTTCATGAGTATAGCTAGTCATCGCCTATACATTAACTCGGAAATCATCTGATGATCTATACTTTGACAAAGTAAAGAGGGCAAATACTCACCAATTGTCGTCAGCTGACACACGTCGACAGGGATGGCACCCACTACATTCGCATCAACGATCTTCCATGTACCAGCATCTGCCACCCCAACACTGTGTATAGTGAGTGTCGAGTGTGTGGCGTTCAAAGTTGCCCTGTATCCAGCCACGGGGCTGCAGCTGGGGTTGCAGGTGGCGACATACCGGCCATCAGTTGGTCGTACCCACAAAAAGCCTGTATAGTTGCTTCTGTCACCTACTATTGTGTATTCTGTTCCAAGCAGACCGACAACCCCCGGACACGTGGAATCTGTGGGGATAACATGTTGAACACTAGTTATATAAATGGTTGCTACAAAATGAAACGGAACTATTGGTGTGAAATTTAAGGTATAGCAAACATCCTGCTTCGGTTGTGGGTGTTGCTGACACGAGGAGCACCATCTTCTGGAGACCCTTGTCAATATTACATGTTCGTGAAAGCAGGTGCGAGTTGAAACTACTGAAACCACATGGACTAAAAAATTAAAAGATGGTCAATGCTTTTCCCAGTAACAATGTCGAAAAGTAATACTCACCAGTACATTTAAAACATGGTAATTATTGAACTTGGTTAATTTATCAAGGACATAAACATGTCCTTCGAGAGATATGGAACACACAACTGAATTATTTGATAACCTCTTCCTCGTAAAAACACAGGAAACATGAACAAATCTAGTGTACAAATTTCGATGTATTGTGCAGATCAATAGATCAGGCTGCATTCCAGTTGCTTTCTCATCTCCCTGGAGAGTATAAACACCAAGCATCATTGACGCTCTAGAATTGTTTTCACACAAAGCTTCTCAGGAGAATAGTCTCGATTACACGTGGTAGTGCGTACTGGATGTATTTTTTTCTTAGTTTCTTTGTTTTGTTTGTTGAATTGTTGTTTAACGCCGTGCTCAGCATTATTCAAGCTGTATCGCGGCAGTCTGTAAATAATCGAGTTTCGACAAGACAATCCAGTGATTGACATCATGAGCATCGATGCAATTGCGATACGATGACATGCATCAACCAAGTCAGCGAGCCTGACAACCCGATCCCGTTAGTCGATTCTTACGACAAGCACAGTCGCCTTGTACGGCAAGGATGGGTTGCTGGAGACCTATTCTACACCGGATCTTCATGGGCCTGACATGTACACCGCATTCTCCTTGTCTCTGCTTTCTTCTCATAATTGTTCAATCGTTTATTTTGTATTCTGGATCACTTCTTCAATTCAGACAGTTCTATACAGCAAATCCGCGTGACCAGCACGCCATATGACTGGCTTTATAAATACATTGACTCGGCAGTAATCTGATTATGTATGATATATCTAAGTATACTGTGCATAATACTCACTAGTTGCATTTAGCTGACACACGTCGACAGGCTTAGCACTGGCATCGTTTGCGTCCCGTATGCTCCAGGTTCCAGCATCTGCCACCCCAACGCTGTGTATAGTGAGTGTAGAGTGTGTGGCGTTCATGGTTGCCCTGTATCCAGCCACGGGGCTGCAGCTGGGGTTGCAGGTGGCGACATACCAGCCATCAGTTGGTCGTACCCACAGAAAACGTGTGTATTTGCTTCTGTCACCTACAATTGTGTATTCTCTTCCAAAAAGAGCCACTCCCCCAGGACACGTGGAAGCTGAGTCTTGAACACAATTTGTACAAAGGTTTAGGACTAAATGAAACACAATGTATGTTAAAGCTATTTTATATATTATATTATGCTCCAATTGTACGTGTGCTGATACAATAGTGACATCTGCTGGAGACCATTGTCAAAATTACATGTTTATATGCAGGCGCAAGAGATATCGTTGAAGCTAGTGAAAGAATTGGATAATTAAAATATATTTAATACTATATCTGGTCAAGCTTTAAAAAAAATAGATTTACAACAACATCCGCATGTACCTGCATAATACATGGTCATCATTAAACTTAATCTGCTTTGCTTGCATACATTCGATGCACGTTCAAAGCGCTGGTCTTGTTAATAGATCAGCGTGCATTCCAATTGCTTCCTTATCTCCCTGAAAACACCGAGCATCCTTCACGCTCTAGAAATGTTTTCATACAAAGCTTCATAGGATGGCGTATCATCTCATTGTTAACACACATTACGAGTAAATGAGTATGGTTTTACGCCACTTTAGCAATATTCCAGCAATATCACGGCGAGGGACACCAGAAATGGGCTTCACACATTGTACCCATGTTGGGGATGGAACCCGCGTCTTCAGCGTGACGACCGAGCGCTTTACCCAGTAGGCTATCAGACCGCCCCAACACATTACGACCAAGATATGAGAATACATAGTGATCGGTGGATAAAGTGTTCAGTGTGCCATCTTCACGCCTATATATCTTTGTTTATGTCACAGTCAACTGGTGCCATCATTCAGCTGACAGATCCATTTTGGGTACTGATCAGAGGTGCTAAATGGCGTATCTTCCAAACTGATAGGCAGACTATCATTTCAATCATGATAGTCTATATAGTTTTCTGCAGTTAACATAATAAAATTATCAAAGACATATCTGATAGTCCTGAACCAAAACAGATGGCTGTGCTTAATTTAAACATATATTTTGGGACCAGACGTATCAGACAACTTGGAAAGTTTACGTCTGGGACCTCGAAATCAGTGACATCGTTATTAGCCTATTAAAAACGATAGCACGCACACACGCACACACATACACACACACACGAACAATTGATGTAATTAATATATACACATACGAATTAATACATCACTTCCATTTTTTTCATGGGAATTATTGTATTAATGTTCATGAGGATAGCTAGTCATCGCCTATACATTAACTCGGAAATCATCTGATGATCTATACTATGACAAAGTATAGAGGGCAAATACTCACCAATTGTCGTCAGCTGACACAAGTCGACAGGGATGGCACCCACTACATTCGCATCAACGATCTTCCATGTACCAGCATCTGCCACCCCAACACTGTGTATAGTGAGTGTAGAGCGTGTGGCGTTCAAAGTTGCCCTGTATCCAGCCACGGGGCTGCAGCTGGGGTTGCAGGTGACGACATACCGACCGTCAGTTGGTCGTACCCACTTAAAGCCTGTATAGTTGCTTCTGTCACCTACTATTGTGTATTCTGTTCCAAGCAGACCGACACCCCCCGGACACGTGGAATCTGTGGGGATAACATGTTGAACACTAGTTATATAAATGGTTGCTACAAAATGAAACGGAACTATTGGTGTGAAATTTAAGGTATAGCAAACATCCTGCTTCGGTTGTGGGTGTTGCTGACACGAGGAGCACCATCTTCTGGAGACCCTTGTCAACATTACATGTTCGTGAAAGCAGGTGCGAGTTGAAACTATTGAAACCACATGGACTAAAAAATTAAAAGATGGTCAATGCTATTCCCAGTAACAATGTCGAAAACTAATACTCACCAGTACATGTAAAACATGGTAATTATTGAACTTGGTTAATTTATCAAGGACATAAACATGTCCTTCGAGAGATATGGAACACACAACTGAATTATTTGATAACCTCTTCCTCGTAAAAACACAGGAAACATGAACAAATCTAGTGTACAAATTTCGATGTATTGTGGAGATCAATAGATCAGGCTGCATTCCAGTTGCTTTCTCATCTCCCTGGAGAGTATAAACACCAAGCATCATTGACGCTCTAGAATTGTTTTCACACAAAGCTTCTCAGGAGAATAGTCTCGATTACACGTGGTAGTGCGTACTGGATGTATTTTTTTCTTAGTTTCTTTGTTTTGTTTGTTGAATTGTTGTTTAACGCCGTACTCAGCATTATTCAAGCTGTATCGCGGCAGTCTGTAAATAATCGAGTTTCGACAAGACAATCCAGTGATTGACATCATGAGCATCGATGCAATTGCGATACGATGACATGCATCAACCAAGTCAGCGAGCCTGACAACCCGATCCCGTTAGTCGATTCTTACGACAAGCACAGTCGCCTTGTACGGCAAGCATGGGTTGCTGGAGACCTATTCTACCCCGGATCTTCATGGGCCTGACATGTACACCGCATTCTCCTTGTCTCTGCTTTCTTCTCATAATTGTTCAATCGTTTATTTTGTATTCTGGATCTCTTCTTCAATTCAGACAGTTCTATACAGCAAATCCGCGTGACCAGCACGCCATTTGACTGGTTTTATAAATACATTGACTCGGCAGTAATCTGATTATGTATGATATATCTAAGTATACTGTGCATAATACTCACTAGTTGCATTTAGCTGACACACGTCGACAGGCTTAGCACTGGCATCGTTTGCGTCCCGTATGCTCCAGGTTCCAGCATCTGCCACCCCAACGCTGTGTATAGTGAGTGTAGAGTGTGTGGCGTTCATGGTTGCCCTGTATCCAGCCACGGGGCTGCAGCTGGGGTTGCAGGTGGCGACATACCAGCCATCAGTTGGTCGTACCCACAGAAAACGTGTGTACTTGCTTCTGTCACCTACAATTGTGTATTCTCTTCCAAAAAGAGCCACTCCCCCAGGACACGTGGAAGCTGAGTCTTGAACACAATTTGTACAAAGGTTTAGGACTAAATGAAACACAATGTATGTTAAAGCTATTTTATATATTATATTATGCTCCAATTGTAGGTGTGCTGATACAATAGTGACATCTGCTGGAGACCATTGTCAAAATTACATGTTTATATGCAGGCGCAAGAGATATCGTTGAAACTAGTGAAAGAATTGGATAATTAAAATATATTTAATACTATATCTGGTCAAGCTTTAAAAAAAATAGATTTACAACAACATCCGCATGTACCTGCATAATACATGGTCATCATTAAACTTAATCTGCTTTGCTTGCATACATTCGATGCACGTTCAAAGCGCTGGTCTTGTTAATAGATCAGCGTGCATTCCAATTGCTTCCTTATCTCCCTGAAAACACCGAGCATCCTTCACGCTCTAGAAATGTTTTCATACAAAGCTCCATAGGATGGCGTATCATCTCATTGTTAACACACATTACGAGTAAATGAGTATGGTTTTACGCCACTTTAGCAATATTCCAGCAATATCACGGCGAGGGACACCAGAAATGGGCTTCACACATTGTACCCATGTTGGGGATGGAACCCGCGTCTTCGGCGAGACGACCGAGCGCTTTACCCAGTAGGCTATCAGACCGCCCCGACACATTACGACCAAGATATGAGAATACATAGTGATCGGTGGATAAAGTGTTCAGTGTGCCATCTTCACGCCTATATATCTTTGTTTATGTCCCAGTCAACTGGGTGCCATCATTCAGCTGACAGATCCATTTTGGGTACTGATCAGAGGTGCTAAATGGCGTATCTTCCAAACTGATAGGCAGACTATCATTTCAATCATGATAGTCTATATAGTTTTCTGCAGTTAACATAATAAAATTATCAAAGACATATCTGATAGTCCTGAACCAAAACAGATGGCTGTGCTTAATGTAAACATATATTTTGGGACCAGACGTATCAGACAACTTGGAAAGTTTACGTCTGGGACCTCGAAATCAGTGACATCGTTATTAGCCTATCAAAAACGATAGCACGCACACACGCACACACATACACACACACACGAACAATTGATGTAATTAATATATACACATACGAATTAATACATCACTTCCATTTTTTTCATGGGAATTATTGTATTAATGTTCATGAGGATAGCTAGTCATCGCCTATACATTAACTCGGAAATCATCTGATGATCTATACTATGACAAAGTATAGAGGGCAAATACTCACCAATTGTCGTCAGCTGACACATGTCGACAGGGATGGCACCCACTACATTCGCATCAACGATCTTCCATGTACCAGCATCTGCCACCCCAACACTGTGTATAGTGAGTGTAGAGCGTGTGGCGTTCAAAGTTGCCCTGTATCCAGCCACCGGGCTGCAGCTGGGGTTGCAGGTGACGACATACCGACCGTCAGTTGGTCGTACCCACTTAAAGCCTGTATAGTTGCTTCTGTCACCTACTATTGTGTATTCTGTTCCAAGCAGACCGACACCCCCCGGACACGTGGAATCTGTGGGGATAACATGTTGAACACTAGTTATATAAATGGTTGCTACAAAATGAAACGGAACTATTGGTGTGAAATTTAAGGTATAGCAAACATCCTGCTTCGGTTGTGGGTGTTGCTGACACGAGGAGCACCATCTTCTGGAGACCCTTGTCAACATTACATGTTCGTGAAAGCAGGTGCGAGTTGAAACTATTGAAACCACATGGACTAAAAAATTAAAAGATGGTCAATGCTATTCCCAGTAACAATGTCGAAAACTAATACTCACCAGTACATGTAAAACATGGTAATTATTGAACTTGGTTAATTTATCAAGGACATAAACATGTCCTTCGAGAGATATGGAACACACAACTGAATTATTTGATAACCTCTTCCTCGTAAAAACACAGGAAACATGAACAAATCTAGTGTACAAATTTCGATGTATTGTGGAGATCAATAGATCAGGCTGCATTCCAGTTGCTTTCTCATCTCCCTGGAGAGTATAAACACCAAGCATCATTGACGCTCTAGAATTGTTTTCACACAAAGCTTCTCAGGAGAATAGTCTCGATTACACGTGGTAGTGCGTACTGGATGTATTTTTTTCTTAGTTTCTTTGTTTTGTTTGTTGAATTGTTGTTTAACGCCGTACTCAGCATTATTCAAGCTGTATCGCGGCAGTCTGTAAATAATCGAGTTTCGACAAGACAATCCAGTGATTGACATCATGAGCATCGATGCAATTGCGATACGATGACATGCATCAACCAAGTCAGCGAGCCTGACAACCCGATCCCGTTAGTCGATTCTTACGACAAGCACAGTCGCCTTGTACGGCAAGCATGGGTTGCTGGAGACCTATTCTACCCCGGATCTTCATGGGCCTGACATGTACACCGCATTCTCCTTGTCTCTGCTTTCTTCTCATAATTGTTCAATCGTTTATTTTGTATTCTGGATCTCTTCTTCAATTCAGACAGTTCTATACAGCAAATCCGCGTGACCAGCACGCCATTTGACTGGTTTTATAAATACATTGACTCGGCAGTAATCTGATTATGTATGATATATCTAAGTATACTGTGCATAATACTCACTAGTTGCATTTAGCTGACACACGTCGACAGGCTTAGCACTGGCATCGTTTGCGTCCCGTATGCTCCAGGTTCCAGCATCTGCCACCCCAACGCTGTGTATAGTGAGTGTAGAGTGTGTGGCGTTCATGGTTGCCCTGTATCCAGCCACGGGGCTGCAGCTGGGGTTGCAGGTGGCGACATACCAGCCATCAGTTGGTCGTACCCACAGAAAACGTGTGTACTTGCTTCTGTCACCTACAATTGTGTATTCTCTTCCAAAAAGAGCCACTCCCCCAGGACACGTGGAAGCTGAGTCTTGAACACAATTTGTACAAAGGTTTAGGACTAAATGAAACACAATGTATGTTAAAGCTATTTTATATATTATATTATGCTCCAATTGTAGGTGTGCTGATACAATAGTGACATCTGCTGGAGACCATTGTCAAAATTACATGTTTATATGCAGGCGCAAGAGATATCGTTGAAACTAGTGAAAGAATTGGATAATTAAAATATATTTAATACTATATCTGGTCAAGCTTTAAAAAAAATAGATTTACAACAACATCCGCATGTACCTGCATAATACATGGTCATCATTAAACTTAATCCGCTTTGCTTGCATACATTCGATGCACGTTCAAAGCGCTGGTCTTGTTAATAGATCAGCGTGCATTCCAATTGCTTCCTTATCTCCCTGAAAACACCGAGCATCCTTCACGCTCTAGAAATGTTTTCATACAAAGCTTCATAGGATGGCGTATCATCTCATTGTTAACACACATTACGAGTAAATGAGTATGGTTTTACGCCACTTTAGCAATATTCCAGCAATATTACGGTGAGAAACACCAGAAATGGGCTTCACACATTGTACCCATGTTGAGGATGGAACCCGCGTCTTCGGCGTGACGAGCAAGCGCTTTACTCACTAGGCTATCAGACCGCCCAAACACATTACAACCAAGATATGTGAATACATAGTGATCGGTGGATAAAGTGTTGAGTGTGCCATCTTTATGCCTCTATATCTTTGTTTATGTCACGGTCAACTGGGTGCCATCATTCAGCTGACAGATCCATTTTGGGTGTTGATCAGAGGTGATAAATGGCGTATCTTCCAAACTGATAGGCAGACTATCATTTCAATCGTGATAGTCCATTTAGTTTTCTGCAGTTTACATAATACATTATCAAAGATATACCTGATAGTCCTGAACCAAAACAGATGGTTGTGCTTAATGTAAACATATATTTCTGGACCAGACGTATCAGACAACTTGGAAAGTTAACGGCTGGAACCTCCACGATGCACACCCCTCGTGAATGTGGATAGAAAACACACACAAAGTTGGACAATTTCATCACTAATGTTACACCACATTTTGGAAAATTACCATGAAATCACACATGATTTGTCTGCAGCAAATTAATTGTGTTAGCCACGAGCCTTCACTACAGATAAACAAGTTGTCATGTAATGCGAAAAAAACACCACACAAACTAATAATTAATTCAATATTGTTCAGAGATTAGGGATGAAGTACACTTTTTTTAAACCTGTTGATCCCCCTGTGAAAATATCTCCGTCAATGCAAAATAATATTAAAATTCTTATAAATTAATAAGTCAACAATGATATCTTCACAGACTCACAAATATTCAAGATCAGTGACATCGTTATTAGCCTATCAGAAACAATGGAAACATATGCAAATATTTGGTTGCAAATCGCAATTAAATTACTTTCAATTTATATATTTTCAAATTACCTACAAACATAAATGCAAGTTGATAAAACATAATTAATCATCACGAAAATATAAAATGTATGTCTTCAGCAAGGCTACCTTTTTGAATATTAAACATACTTACCATTGATGAAAGAAAGAGTCAGAACCAGTAAGATAAGTACTTGATTGTGTTTAACCGTCATTTTCTACAAACTGGAAAGAGAAATACATAGTGAGATTATTGTTCTTCTCATCACGCTTCTTAATAATATGATCAACCGGTAGACAACTATAGTCGGGGTAGAATAGGTCTTCAGCAACCCACGCTTGCCCTAAAAGGCGAGTATGCTTGTCGTATCGGGTGGTCGGGCTCGCTGACTTGGTTGACGCATGTCATCGACCCCAATTGCAGGGATCGATGCTCAGGATATTAATCACTGGAATATCTGGTCCAGACTCGATTATTTACAGACCGCCGTCATATAGCTTGAATATTGCTGAGTGCGGCGTTAAACAACAAACCAACCAACGGTAGACATCTACAAATATTTCAAATGTTTAAACGTTTATGTTTTAGGTAGTACTCATTATGAAATGTCGATCACGTACAAAAACATATCTAGTCTAAACAAAATTTGAACGACTCAATCACATCAGCATACTTTGGCTTATTATTTGTTCTCCATTTAATTTTGGGTTGAAACATTTTTGTCCCTAGAGAGACAAGACATGTTGAACGCATCATATATTTGATAAAACACCATGAAAAATTAAGAGGGAAAATTAAGCATTTGAACCCATAATCGCAAAACGGCTGGAGCGCATGTGTAAGAAGAAAGTCAGTGGAGAAATATATATTACGAACGGGTATGCACTCTGGGGTGGAGAAGGGGGATGACGAACGGGTATGGTGAATGTGTGTCAAGAACGGGTATGAAGAAGGAATTCTTCATGTCCATACTCGTGCCGCATACCCGATCGTGATAATTGTTCTTCAATGACTTTCTTCTATCATGTGTTCCCGTGTTTTGTAGGTGAACAATTGCTTTGCATGTGTTTGTGACGGGTGCCACTGGTGGGGCAGGATACGTTCACCGTTTTGACAACACCTGGTGTTATCACTATTTGATAGTGATGCATAAACACATGCCCATGATATGGTTGGAATCGTACAATCGACTCTGTTTAATGCAGGGATTTCTTTTACACGTTCGGTCGCCTCTGTGGTCTAGTGGTAGTGCGTCCGAAAGGTCCAGGGTTAGATCCCCGGCGGCGTCATACCAAAAGACGTTAATTGATGGTTCTTGTTGTTACCCTGCCTTGCGTTCGGCATTAAGGGGCTATATTAAGGACTGGTCGGCTCGGAGTCAGTATACTTTGTCTGACTGGTGTATTCATGTTAAACTGCGGCATGGTATCCCAGTGGTCTAGAACTATAAAATCGGTTTTAGTCCGGATTAGTACAAGCAGCAACACAAACACACACACACACATTCACACACATACACACGTGCAGGTACGTCGCTTTATAAATGCAATAATCTTGGATGCGACAAACCCTATTTCACCTCACCTCTTATACATGCGCTCTACATGTTTTCCGATCAAGGGTACGATTCCCTAATTTTCCCTCTGAATTTTTATTGGTGTTTCAGGGGACAGGGGTGACCAAGTCGTATAAGGCGCCGAGATTCTCTCTCCAGAGTCCCTTGGGCACGCCAGAAACCTATGATTGTGTGTTCGAGTACCGGTTTGCCCTGATTATGTTTCTAGGTTTGTCAGCACCATACCCGTGCTCTAGGGTTTCACCGAAGTGGTAAACATATGAAACCTGCATCACTTCGGGCTTTCCTCCCACATTAAGCTCACACACTGCGATAAAAGTTGAATAATGTCAAAAGCCTCGTTAAACCCAACTTACTCACTCTAGGTTATCGTGGATTTCCCCCCCAAAAATATGCTTTCTAAGAACAAATATTACAATCCGAAAACGTTGTACTCGTATGCCAATCAGTGTATTAGGTTCTGTATATGAGTATGCCATCTTTTACAAAAAAGACACGTGTATATATGAGTGCAATGCTCCCAACAAACACTCAGACATCCCCATTGGGCACCATGCATTAACATGCATCTGCAAATCGTGAATCACGACCTTAAAGTTGCATTGAAATATGCATAATTTTATTTTAGAATTTATTTGTTTTTCGGTTCATTGAGGTATTTGTATCAATCCGCGTAGCACATCGGTTTTCCGGTTATACCTCAATGAACCGTAAAACATCTACAGTCAATCCTATTAATTAAATTCGACAACGAAAAACATGTGTCATCTACAACAACAGTTTTATTATCAAAGCAGAAACAAATTGATGAGATTGAAAAACATTCCAGGTGCGTGACCTGAATCAGGTGATTGTTTAATTCATGCACATAAATTGACTCGCCCACAAAGTCAATAGCCAATCAACTGAGAGTATGATCAAAGTTCATAGGACCTGTCAATCAATGCCGACATTCCGTTGTAAAAAAAGTAATCCGCTTCTTGGGGCGTGGCTTATTTTTTTATATTCTTTGGGAAATGTATGCATGACCGATGCAGCTGATCAGAATGCATGAATTACAATGAACACAGCGAGAATTAATTATGTTACTTTACAAGCGTACATTTCACGCTTATACTTATGCAAGCATCACCAAACACACACACGCACACGCACACACACACACACACACGCACACACACACACACACACACACGCACACGCACACGCACACACACACACACACACACACGCACACACACACACGTACATACGTATACTAACACATACTCACAGACACTAACACATATACACACACATACACATACACAAATACATACACACACATACACACAAACAGACATACTCATAGGCATACACACACATTTACACACATACACATAAACACACACACACGCACACATACACATATATACTTATACTTACACATATACACACACATACACATACACATACACACACATACATACACACATACAAACAAACACAAATAGACATACACACACACACACACACACACACACACACACACACACACACACACTTCCCATCTAACCATTTCAAATGTTCAGCTACCAATGAATATAGTATTATCATCTTTACTTCAATCTAAAGGAATGCATTCACAGATTTCCATTTGACCACCTTTATAAGCACAGTTTAATTTCATTGCACAATTTTAATGTAAATGTATGTGAATGGTCTAAAGAATGTGATATTGTGAACTCTATTTGTACAAACTGTTCATCCGGTGTACCTAAATTACTGAATAAACTGCCTGTCTGTCAGTCTGTCTGTTTAAGGAGACATCTAAGTGATTATGTAACTGCTGGACGAAGACATGTACCATTTAAAATAATGTACGAATACATAAGCAGAACAAAGCATCTCACCTGTGGCTGGGGTAGCAATCCACAACATCCAGTCAAGACGTAGCGACACGCACAGCCGTTCAATCAACCGTTCAGGGTATGTGTACCCGCCTTGACAGCAACACGCGCAATGTCTCTCAGTTCCTTTGTCACTTGGGGGCAGAGTCGTGAAAGACGGCCCAACTCGTTCTGAAGGACTATTGGCCACAATATGGTAGCTACTCGATACAGCGCAAAGAACAATGAAAAAAGTAGGCTGGTTTGTTACATGGTAAGACATTGTTTTATCATGAAGTCATTTCTGGAGATTCGAACATGCGAACAGCCTGTTGACGTCATGAACGTTCTTTCTTTTCATATATCTCTTGTTTTTGTGTTTCGACCTTTATAAGCAAGACTAAACACTTTACACGAACCAGTTTACTCTTATTGGGTATTTTTGTTTACCTTTATTTCTACTGATGTACTTTTTGACCGAAATGTCGCCCATATATCAAAGCAATCAGTGTAACATCAAGATGTCATATCAATGTTTGTTCGTTTGTTTGTTTGTTTGTTGTTTAACGCAATATTCCACCTATATGACGGCGGTGTGTGAATAATCGAGTATGGACCAGACAATCCAGTGATTGACATCATGAGCATCGATCCACGCAATTGGGATACGATGACATGCATCAACCAAGTCAGCGAGCCTGACCTTCCGATCATATCTATGAACATTATGTTACGAGTTGAACAAATGTAACATGTATAACATGACTGTCTCCAAACGGAAAAAAATGAGTGAGTGAGTGAGTTAAATTTTAACGTCACATCGGCAAAATCTCAGCCATATGGTGACGAAATTATTTATAATACTGACATTAAAACATTAAAAAAATCTGTCACCGACGGACAGTATAACAAATAGCATATCACAGTTTATAAATAAAACTAGTTTAGAACAATTAAAAAACGGGCTACAGATCGCCAGCAACCAAAGTTAGGCCACCTTACTGGGGGCCGTGGAAACAATACTTCTGCTACCTGCACGGCTCCCCAGCAGGATTTACACCATCCCTTCAGCTGCTGGCGATGGTACACAATTAAGCCACACACACACACACACACACACACACACACACACACACACACACACACACACACACACACACACACACACACACACACACACACACACACACACACACACAGAGTGTTTACATTGACATTTATTTGAGTATAATAATAACATGCCTTAACGAAAGTTGAATTCTCGGGAATCAATACGTGGGACATATGGCTCACCGGCCTGATTGCTTATTTGCTGACAAGATTCACAGGTGACGCAAACACTTGTTGTCTTTGTTCTGCTGTTCAGTGACTCGATTCATCCCAGGGAATGCTGACACACTTCTTAAGAAGGCTGTGAAACGTGTCCTCTTCAGCCCAGGTAACTGCACGACACAGCTCTCTCGGGAAAACTGATCCTGTGTTCATATAATATAGTAGCTTGTTGAATGAGGTCATCGGGAACCACAGTTACACAGGCTGCACTTGAGTTTCTCGGGAATATTTGGTATTTTCCAAAAATTTTATTCTGTTACGAGACTGTTGAAAGAACTATAGCTGTATACAATGTCATGTATACGGGAGAGGAGAGAGAGAGAGGGGGGGGGGGGGGGGGGGGGGGGGGGGGGGGGGGGTCCAAGTGGGGTTTAATCTCGCTTTCAAGATTATTGCACTCACATTTATATGGCTAGGTGCGTAAATGTATTGCATGTTCGTTGTAGTGTGTATGTTGTGTTTTGGCCCTGTGTGCACACACGCACACACATGCCCACACATGAAAACACACACACGCACACGCACACAGACACGCACACATACAATGTACGTACACATACACACTAACAAATATATACGTACACACTCACACACATACGAACATACTCACACACACACGTACATACTCACACATATACACATCTACTGACACAATCTAACACACAAGCATACACACTCTCTGTCTCTCTCTCTCACAGACTCACACATACAATGCACGTACACATACGCAAAGACACACATACACACACAGAAACACACACAAACATGAGTATACACACACAGACACATACCTAGACACTCCCACACACATGGGTACACACACACGCACACACACACACATGCGTACACACACATTTACACATGCAGACACAGACACACATAAACACACACTCTCACACATACAATCTACGTACTCGAACACACACACACACACACGCACGCACGCACGCACACACACATACACACACAAGCATACGTACATCCTCCTCCCATCATAAGTGCAGTATTCTGTTATAAAAATACACCCTTTCGTCTCACCGCCACCTCACGAAGTGGAGAATATCATGTTCATATATGAAACTACATGTAAACAATATCACATTATCCATTTACGTAAACGTGACCCAAGCTCAGTGTCATGACGTGAGGTTGTGAGGCAGCCTCGTGGCGAAGCGTTGGCTCGTCATACTAAAAACATTGTTTCATCATACTAAAAATCCTGTTTTGTCACACTAAAAACACCGTTTCGTAATACTAAAATACCGTTTCGTCATGCTAAAAAAAAACATTTATCTAAAAACCCTGTTTCGTCATACTAAAAACCCTGTTTCTTCATACTAAAAACCCTGTTTCGTTATACTAAAAACCCTTAAAACCCTGTTTCGTCATACTAAAACCCTGTTTCATCATACTAAAACCCCTTAAAACCCTGTTTCGTCATACTAAAAACCCTGCTTCATCATACAAAAAAAACCCTTTCGATCCCCCACTGTATGAATCCTATTGGTGTTTCTCGCGGTAATATCTTCTGACAAAGACCCAAGTTTATTCATAGGCCCTTGTCCTTAACCTTGTTACATGTCCTACATCCAAGTATCGCAATGTGGGGACAAAAGCTGACAGTGGCGTGAGGCATGACCCACCACTCCCACACCCTCCCGCCCCATATCGGTACCAGCCTAAGGGTAACTCTCAATAACAATATACTTGTATCATGTTAGAATTTTACAGCCCTTCTTTCATTTATGACAAAGTAAATACATTTTGCCTGTCGGGACATAATATTGTGACGTGCATCATGCATTAACTGGACAAATTTAAATCTACTTGGATGTGCATATGAGGTCAAGTGAGATCATTGCACTTATATAGCGACGTGCATGCACGTGTGTGTGTGGCTGTTTGTACTAGTCCGGACTGATGCCGATTTATAGTGCTAGCTCACTGAGATACCATACCGAAGTTTAACATGAATACCCAACTCAGACACAGTATACTGACTCCGAGCCGACCAGTCCTAAGCTCTTAATGCCGAGCGCCAGACAGGGTAACAACAAGTACCATCGTATCTGGGTGTGACGCGGCAGGTGATCGAACCCCGGGCCTTCCGCTCTTCGGGCGGACGCTTGTGTATATGAATACTGTTGGTCGATAGAACTTTCTTAAGTTGGTATATATCGTACAGATCATTAGAACACAAAATTCGTCTGCTACTCCGTCTTCACGAATAGGACAAAGTCGTTCTTCTAACTGTAATGTCAGCTTTAAAAACGTCAACCGTAAGCTGGGCGGTGAGTGAGTGGTTGTTTTTTTCGCCGCTTTGAGCAATATTCCAGCAATATCACGGAGCGAGAAGAAATGGGTTCCAACTTTATGCATGTTGGGACTCGAACTCGGGTCATCCTTTAACCACTAGGCTACCCACTGCCTTTACGCACTGTGATTTCAGGTCCAGGAGAAATCGCCAGCAAGCCATAACACAGATGCCCCTATATGTTCAAGATGATCCTTGCTCTGTTGACTGTTGACAAAAGATATGATGTTTGAGGGAGTGAGGCGAAGACTTTATTGATCTTCAACGAAAATAAGGGGGCACGGGTGGCCCAGCCGTCTAGTGCGCCGCGATTCGCTGAGTTGCGTCCCGTCGGCACGCCAGAAATCTATGACTATCACTGAGATACAGTTTAATATGAATACCCCACTCAGACACAGTATACTGACTCCGATCCGACCTGACCTTGTTTGAGCCCTTTAATGCCTAGCGCCAAACAGGGTAATATCAATTACCAGCTTTTTAACATCTTTAGGTATGACGAGGCGTGGGATCGAACCCCGACCTTACGCTCCCGGTAGACGCTCTACCACAAGACCAATGAGGCGGTCCCTACACAGTAAGCTCAGTCGCCGTCACGTTGCCGAAATAATGTTGAAGGTGGGACCCACCCTTAACGCACTCAGGGTCAATAATCCGTGCTCAGTTCAATGTGTTGAAATTTGTTTACACTACATAACACTTGGGACCGCCTCCGTGGTCTAGTGGTAGAGCGTCCGCCCGGAGAGCGGAAGTTCCAGGGTTCGATCCCGGGCCGCGTCATACAAAAAGACGTTAAAAGATTGTACTTGTTGTTACCCTGTCTGGCGCTCGGCATTAAGGGGCTTAAACAAGGACTGGTTGGCTCGGAGTCAGTATACTGTGTCTGAGTGGGGTATTCATGTTAAACTTTGGCATGGTATCTCAGTGAGCTAGCACTATAAATCGGCATCAGTCCGGACTAGTACAAGCAGCCAGACACACACATACACGTGCATGCACGTCGCTATATAAGTGCAATAATCTTGGACGCGACGTTAAACCCAATTTCACCTCACCTCACATAACACTTGGGGTCAAGGTTCATACTGTTTGACACTGTTGGAACTTCCTCAATATATATCAGACGCGTAATCAGTTCCATCCTCAAGCAAGGGAAGTTTCCATTTCGTCCGGCCCTCAGAAGTTGAGCATTGAGGTGAGACACACCACAAAACACAGTACGGATCTTCACGGGTACTTTGGTATTTTGAGGACACGTTGAGTGAGTGAGCGAGTATGGTTTTACGCCGCTTTTAGCAATATTCCAGCAATATCACCCCGTGGGGACACCAGAAATGGGCTTCACACATTGTACCCATGTCGGGAATCGAACCCGGGTCTCCAGCGTGACGAGCGAACGCTTTAACCACTGGGCTACCCGACCGCCCCTTCCAGGGGTTGAAGAACCTAAAACTGTTTAGGACGTGTTGGCCATGCTTCCGCTTACTTATCTCACTGCGTCTTCAACCCTTCGTCTGTTTGTGGGG